TATGTATATATATATATATATGCATATATATTGATATATATATATACGTATATGTGTGTGTATATATATATATATATATATATATATATACACACATGTATATATACTTCTAAAAGTCGTGTATCATGCATAGGAACATTGACGCCTGCAAGGCTCTGGTTTAGAACCAGAATTTATATAGAACCTATCACAATCTGCAGATTATACAAGGCGCTGGCATCATTATTTCCCTGGTCACTGGATACTGAGTTGCCAGACCCACACATTGTGTAACTTTCTCTGTTCCCTGGGGAGTATCCCTGGTCATTGCTTCTTGTACGCGCACAACCCTTACATTCAATGCCATACCATCCCATCTTACCTGGTAACCATTTATACTCCTGGGTGGAGAGAAGCAAACGTAAGTAACGTGCCTTGTCCGAGGACACAAGCAATGCAACTAGCTTCGATCTCGAACTCCCGATCTCACAATCAGAAGTCCAACACCTTACATGCTGCGCCACATGATCCTACATTTCCGGACGAGCTTGTATGTTTGTTCAAGTCACTATCAAAAATATTATACATCACTATAAAAAAATATCTTGTATCTTATATCATTCCGGCCTACCTTCTTGTATGGAATCCCTTAAAAAAATCTCTTTTTCAGTTCTCCTCTCAATACAAAAAATATGCATCAAAAATTTGATCATATAATACATATTCTGAATTTGGTTAGTCCAATGATAAAATATACATTGTGTACTTCACATATTATTTTTAAAATTCCCAAGTTGACAGTTGGTAAATTATTGCTGCGAAGCAGCCAATTCATATTCTTGACAGCAATTTGACCTCTGAAAGGTCATTGTTTGTCAAAAAACGAGTGGCTAAGACGACTGAAAAGCGGAGTTTCCTTCTTTCGTTCTGCCAGGTAAAATCAATTACTTTAGGCGACGTTTGTAGTCTAACCTACTCGTACCAACGTCCGCATGTCTCGCTAGCCTTATCCTACTCTAGGCCTAGACTAGCTAGGATGGTATAGGCCTATTCTTGAAGGGACGAAGGTCCCAATGAAAAACAACGTCGCTCTTTGATAGCTAACATTGTCTATTTAACATCACAATAATTCATTATTAGACCTATAGTTGTTTTTTGAATTGTACTCCACAAATCTCAGCCGATACTTCGCACAACTAGTTAACGTCTCTATCTATTGTCGTGACGTCATGGCTCGCTGGCTCACACTTGTGATATGTCTCGCACTTGTGATCAAATAACACGCTGGCTCGCACTTTGGCAACACTCTTTGGCAGTCAACTCGCCCCTAGAAAACCCGCCCTTGGAAACTTGCCCCATAAAAAAAATGTACACTTCCTAGACCATGCAGTCTTCAAAATAAAAATTGTAACCTTTGGTAATCAACAACATTTTCCACATACATAGACATTTTTGAAACTTTATTTAAAAAAAACCTAAACCATAATTCACCACACTATAGACACTTTTTGACAAAAATGAAAAATTACGACTTTGTTACCCAATGAGAAGTGTTCTAATATAGACAATGGGTCGTGTCTCATATTATTTGTTATAGTTTTATTATTCATTATTTTCACTTGACTCGCATAAATAATTTGTTCGAAGAACATTTATATGCAGTTGTACTTCGCAGCACTTCACTTGCAATTTGCAATTTCTAGTTTGATAATTTTGCTATCTTGTATGATCATTGCAATTTTAATATATAGCGCCCTCTATTTCAGCTGGAGACAACTAATAATTATGCAAATTTATGAAACAAATCTCCATCTACATTTATACTACATAGAGGCGTTATATGACTATAAATACTCAGTAATGTTGAGTCATTTGATATTCATTTTAAAACATGGATTCTTAATGCAAAGTATGTCATTCCTCACATACTGTGCTGATTAACGCAGCTGTTTGACCAATCAGCGCCAAGCAACATATAATAGGTTTTGGACAACATTGGAATTTTCTAGAAAGAGCAATCCTTAACCTTTTTTTAGACTGTCTGTACTACCATTTTCTAACTTATTTTTGAGAAAACTTCATAATCCTGATAGCTACTGTATTAATATTAAATTATTTTAGAACAATTTAAATATAAGTTACATAGCAGGTTAGGCTGATTATAATTTCTAATTTCAGGGTAAAATAATGTATGGCATAAAATGTGAGAAACCTTATTTTTGATAGTGAATAAATAATATTGACATTTTTAGTACTTGCTTACATTTGATAGTTTACTTTGAACATTAATTTAAATGATCGAGAAAATAAAGTAAATACATTTATTTTCAGTATTACATTTATTTTTAGAATTACTAATTATAGGTGTTACTGTTAAGCAGCAATTTTATTCAGTTTTGATGTTTAAATAAATTGAATTTCAAATTTGATTGATCACTCTTCATTAACCTAAAATCTTTATAATTTTATATTAATTATTGCATACTGATAAGAAATATTGACTTAACGGTGGTTTGAAATTGTGGGCGTGTCTGAAAAATCTGAGAAAATACTGTAGCCTTGTTTGTGACAAACCAAAAAAAATAGGAACAAAAAATAAATTTCTACAGTACTGGTATTTTTGTGAAATTCATTAATCGGATACATACTATCTAATATGATAATCATTCGGTATTGAGGGTCATGAAACAGTTATGATGACCATAGAATTATGTTTCCGCTATGTAATGATAATCACAACCACAGTGGAATGATAAATACTATGTAGTGCATGATCACTGTATTACGGTATTTTGTGATAATGATGACCATGATGATGATGATTGCCCTGATAATGATAATTGCCATGATTTTGATGATAGCCATCATTATGATGATTACCATGATTATGCTAATGACCATGATGATGCTGATGACCATGAAGATGCTGATGACCATGATGATGCTGATCACGATGATGATGATGACGATGTGATGATGATTGCCATGATTATGATGATCACCATGTGATGATATTTCCCATTTTTTGTTAACCACCATGCTGATGATAATCACCACCTGACCTTCCAACATTAAAAGTCAGATAAATAATGACTACAGCATTATACAGTATTGCTCACTGGCCATAAAAATAAAAACAAAGACTTACTGTACATTCATCGTGGCAGTATCCATTTCCTTCTCAATTGTGATTTCAATAACATGCTACTGTATTTAATAAGAATAACTTTTATTGACAGATAGTTGACCTTCACTTGATACAAATGACATACAGCAACTTATTTAATTGTAATAATGTATTGAATCATGATATCATTGTCTGTGTGTACACCTTTTAAACATGATGAATTTTTATTACCATTACAATTACTGTTATTATTATTATTATTTTATTGTTATTATTAATATTATTATCATTATTATTATTATTATTATTATTTTTACTGTTATTCTATTATCATTTTATTATTTGTATTTTTCAGTTGGCCTATATTATTTCTGTGGCAATGTGCAACATGTGCTATATAAATATAAAAATTTTATTATTATTAATGATTTTCAACAGTACAGAATTATTATCAGAATTATTCATCAATTACAATTTGACAGACACAGTAAAAAGAAGACGAAAAATGGATGAAAACTCAAGACAAGATCACTTAAAATTCCTGACAGTGATAGTTATGTATTAATAGCAAAATAATCATTAAAAACATATGTATTATATATTTTAATTCATAGTGAAAATTTCACATATCGATATTTTGAATGATAATTAGCACCCGGCAAATTCTAGAACTTCTAGGTGTTAACAACAGCACAAGTTGCTGTTCAAAAATCAAAAAGTTAAAAACTAACCTTCTAACCTACCAGCCTGCCTATCACTAACTCAACCCAACACCACGGACATAACCCTGTATTATTACTGACACGGGTCTACTTTTCTACCTAATGTTAACTTTTTTACCATTTTTTAGTATGACACAATGTTGAAGTCACTTCACAATATGGAGGGCCCTGATGTTAAGTCTGTCTCATTCCCGTCTTTCACCAGAAGTGATCCTGAGGAGTCATCAAGCAGGGGCGAGTCAGAGGCGATTACTCCAAAGGTTGTGGTTGAGAATGAAAAACAGGATACAGGAAAGGAAGTGAATTTAAATAATTCCAGTAAGGAAAACACAGAGGAATTACAGAATGGGGAGTAAAACCAGTGCATAGATAAAGTATGATTTTGATACTAAAAATCAACAAAATTGGTTATAAATGTAGCATCATTTTGAATGCCAGTAGTATTTGAAAAGTGTAATTTTTGATTAGAATTTATTTTATGAATTTATAATGATATAATTTTGTTTTGATTAAACTAATGTACTCTAACATTTAATCTCATAAAAGCAACAATATTTTAATAATTTTCAGTGCTGAGGATTAAGTGAATGTGAGCCCATTAATGTTGACAATGTAATACTGAGTGTCTCATTACAGTCACGAATTGCTGACTGTCTAGCAGAAGCACATAATATATTAGATATTACGTGCTGTCTACATATCTTAGACATGCCTACTAAGACACTAACTATAGATATGGATAGAAAATGCTGATTTTAAAACAATCACAAAATGTACTGTACACCCACAAATAGGAAATAGATATGGATTTGTATCGATGTTCTAACTTCCAAGTAAAATGATATCATCACAAAAACTATGCTAAATTATAGATTATCCCTTTTTTTTCTTTTTTGCAACCTGACTCAAAATGAGCTTCACAAATAAGTATAACATGTGAGTCAGCAACAGATGGTGATGTGCTACAGAGCATAAATGTTTGAGGAAATAAATATATTTCTTTATAGTTAGATTGAAATGCAAATTACTGTGGAAAAATCAATGCTGATAGGAAATGATGATTGAGATTAAAAATTAATATTGCAGATATATTGTCTGTAGTCAAATATGAACAATAGATAGACTGAGATTGTTCCTTAATTAATGAAACACCGATCACAATACGAAATTCCTTTAATTGAATTATTTATACTTGTTAATGTTTTGTCGTAGTATCTTAAACAAGGTGTGTTGCTCTTGAAATTTACCCATATATGAATGCAGACATTTAATGAAATTCACCAGCTAAAAATAGTGTTGTTTGTATGCTATCAATGATTCAAAGTTTAGCCCACAGTAAGGTTTTGATCACATTCAAAGGCATTTTTAATCTATCTGAAATGATTTGCTGCCATACTTAAATCCAAAACGCTTCATCAGTGTCTGCTCAAAACCACATCTCTGTGATATTTTATTACAGTTGTAATTTTCGTCTTTGAATTTGGGTTTCCGCTATCATCTGAAGAACGTATATCCACCATGCATTTTGTCAGTTTTATTGAGGCATGTTTTTTTTTTTAATCATTACATTAACAGTTTGCTAAAGGTAGTTGTGAATTGAATGAATGCCCTGTAGATTGATTTTGTAGGTGTGAGTCAGATGGGATATGCAACTACCTTGAAAATTATACATAATTAAGAAAATTCCAATATGCCTTATGAAGTATAGAAGAAAGACTAATAATGTGACGGGCCTAATTTTTGTATTTCAATTAAGTTGACGTGTCTACTGAATAGTAATTTAATAGTTAATATAATGCATAAGAAACAAGCTATTTCAGTATTGCATATTTCATTGCATTCATAAATTTTAATATTCAGTACAGTACTGATCAGAATGGTAATGTTAATTGACTCCTATTAGCTTGTGCTATATAATCTGCTTTTGAATTGCAGATTCCATGTAATTATTTGCTGTACCAGAAAACCACTAACTTATTGCATCCAAAGTACCATCTTGGTATAATGGCCAAACCCACCAAATGGATATTAAAACAACAAGAATAAAAGCTGCAAAGGGCAGCCCTAGGCCCTGGAGTAGCTAATATATGAGGCCCCAATGGCGGGGCTGTCTGTGTCCCCCTCCCACAGAGTTGAGGAGAATAGAGGATTGGATGAGGCCCTCAAAGTCCATGGAATTTTAGGTATTTAGATGCAGTACTGCTTAGATGTATGATTTTTATTTTCCCCAGGTGAGGCCGGGCCCCACCTGCCCTGGCCTATTGGTGCTACTGACAAATTGAACACCACCCAAAACTATCAAAATGCCAACATGTAATTATTTTTATTAGTAATATAATTATTATTTTTGCAAGGCTTAGAGGTTATAGAAGCATTCACAATCTAAGAAGAGATATTCTTCATTTTTATTAATAGAGGATTTACATCAAAATTATGTATCAGTTACTATTGCAGGTCATCAAAAATTGAAACATACTTCACTCACCAACAGGATTGAACTACTTTGAGTATTTTGTGCTCTGCGATGTATTTTATAATTTAGCATTCATCTCTGTATGTGTATTAGCCCCACCTACATAAGGTGAACTTATATTTAAACTTAATGGATTTCATTAATAATTACTATTTTGGAATACCAAAATCTTTGTTATAAATTATATTAAACTCAACATCTTCAGTGTAAAAGCCATCAAGAAATTAATACAAATTTTATATACAGTATTTAGGTCTTTTAATGTGCCAATGTAATTCTTATTCACTGTTCAATAGATGTAGTATGTAACCCTATCATTGTGTTAATTTAAGATATTTCCAAGCTGAAAAAGATATACGGTATCTAATGTCAGTATCAGGTGCAGTACAGTCTTGTTCCTATATTGGGAATTTAAAAAAAAAATGAAAATGTTCTTTGTGTATGTATTCCCTGTGGGAAGTTCCTGGATTTAATCAGTGATATCTATTTTTTTTGTGTGCATCATTTTAAACTATGATGATAAAATAATAATAATAGTGTAGAGAATTATCTATGTTTTTCTTATACCAGCTCATCGAATTTTAAACCTGATTCTTAAAATATGAATTTGAAACATAAATAGCTATTATAAGTATGAATATATTTGCTTAAAATACTTTAGTTAATATAGTATTTGAAAAGTTTTATTATACACTATTTTATTTAGGTGTGATTTAATAACATTAGTTTTTAATTATCATATTAATGCAAATATATAATTTGTTTCAAAGCTCCAAATTTATTGCACTGTATATTGAAAAATTAAATAGTTCAAAATGCTTAAATTATATTGATTTATGTTTATACAGTTACGACATTGCTGTTACATAGTCATATTTAATTCCCAGATTGTAAAAACTAAACCAAACCAGGTTATTGCGTGATTAAATTGCCAACAATGATAATCACTATGATGATAGCAGCGGTGTAACAACCAGTCCTGAGGCCCCTGGCTAAGGCTCCTTTGGGCCCTCTACCCTGGGGGCTAGGTACAGGTAGAACCCAGTGAGTACTGAGCAAAACCTGCTTTGACATTTTTGACATCTAGGGACGTATTATGATGTTTTTTTCATGTTATACTCCTTAACAGACCCCACTCGGCCAATTTGAGGTGAAATAAAAAATTCTGATGAATATCCCTTAAGGTCTGGGCCCTGCATTTATCCAGCGAGAGCTCGTAGCTGTTATGCAACTGGATGGTGGTATTTATGGTGGTGATGATGATGATTTAACAATGATGTTGATCAGATAACATTTCTGATGACACTGAAGATGATCGTTGTTGATTATTATTACTATGATGATCAGAATCATGATGATATAATTATGATGATGATTATGATTATACAGAGATGATGTTAAGTAAAGGCCTGATCCAGATAAAATTAAAAATAATTATGGTGATTATGATGTGTAGGAACATGCATCTAAGTCAACAGGATGATAGTGATGATAAGATGAATGTATACACTTTCATTTTATAATTTGTATCTTGATACATAATTTAAATGATATTATAAAAAAAAATCCATTATCTATGTTGATATGACTTTCATGAGAATCCCAGTTAATGAAAAAAAAATTCTTATTCTGAAAACATCCGGATGCCTCACTCATTAATTATTCTCATAAATCAAAAGGAAAACACAGAAGAAAAAAGTATTTTCTTCTATTATCTCACAGAATATTCATGTGCCTGGGGACGTCCATGGCCAAATAATGAGATAAAAAGACCTTGTTTTTGTCCATGTTGAAATACTGAGGATTTAATCAAAAGGTTAAAAGTTCAAATTTCTCTTCATCAAATATCTTATTTTATATCCATCCGCCTGCATGTCTTTCCATAATTTTCATGTCTTAAAGCGGCAGTTCAGTACGTCCACTAAATTCACCGCTAAAAATGCCATCAAATTAGGCCTTCGTGAGACAATTGATACTAAAGTAGTAAAAACACGCAAATATATTATGAATTTGCGGAAGATGGGTTAATTCCAGGAGATTCTTGCTTAAGGGAGTTTGGGAGGCCATCCCAATTTCTGGGAGACTTTCGTGATTTTTGGGAGACTTTGGAGCCCTTCCTTTTTGCTCAAAGTGCCCAGACAGGCAGCATTATATCTTATGATGGTCTCTGCTGTACTTTCATATTATGAGGACTCCTCCCTGATATGAACTTTATCTACAGAAGCTTTAACATTAATGCTGAATTGACAAAAATATACAAAACAATTAAAAATACAATAGAATTCTGAAATATATACTGTACCTAATTTTAAATCATTAAACAAATTGAAAAAAAAAAATAATTTTGCAAAACATACTTTACGGTATATTTGCTCTACCAATGAATATACAGTACTTATATTTGCCCTTAAATGATGTGACTGGTACATTAGTTGGATCAATTAACTGTGGTAGGCCTAAACCCTCATTGCCACTTCAGCACCATTAATTACTGCCCCTTATGATTTCACTTGTATACTGTGGCACTCAACTGCCAATTAAGTTGCTCTTGGATCATTTTACTGCTTGTACAGACACTGCCACTAAGTTATCTATTGGATTCAGCTTGTGGCACTCATACCACTTGGGTTGCCTCTTAAATCAAGCTTGTGGCAACCAACTTTTCATTCAAAGTGATACAAGGTTTGTTTGATTCAAGCTTGTAGCAGCCAACTATTGTATTTATAAATGGATCATGTGACTGCTTGTGGAACCTTACTGCCATTTAACTTGTCTCTCTGTCCATGTTATCTGTAATTTACTGTAGTTAAGTTTAGTTCCGGGGCCAACTTGCAGGCTTATGCCCCATCGGTTCCCGGCACTTATTGATAGGAATTGTTATTAGTAGTGTATAACTACGATGCTAAGGATTCGATTGCTACTTTAAGTTGTTTGTGTTGCATTATTCAAGAATATGACTCATTCGATGCTGATGGTGGTACACAGGCGAACTAGCGTAAAATGCGTTGTTATCCTAACTACGATTATTTTTAGCAGCTAACAATCCCATCAACTCATCTATTTATTCAGGTCCGATTTATTCAATCAAAACAATCTATTTTTCAGAATGTAACATCAATCTCTAATTAAATTATGATGGCAAGTGATGCAGCATATTATGGCATTGGCTTGTCTAGTCCAGTAAAAATTGAATCAAAATGGAAAAAAAGAATCCAAGAGAGACGCCCAGGACATGTTGCTCTGTTTTTTTTTTACATGTTTGTTTTGTTAAGGGGAACCACGGAAGTGGTGGGTAATTAGGTGTCCCGGAAATTTGGCCTAATTTCCTTAGCTTATAATTATTGATTTCCATTATTTGATCAATTATGCAAAAGAAACAAAATAAACAATTTCAACACCCATGGTTTTTTTTTTCCACAGAAATTATTTTTTTAAAGGAAAACATGGAACACCTCTCTTCCCTGTCCTATGTTTTCCCTTCCAATCTTTACCAGCACTCCTACATACCATCTTGATCAAACCATGGAGGAATATTCCTCCATGATCGAACTCTGCAAAATCAGTGTAGGTGTGTGCAACGTGTCCGAGAGTGCCATTTCTGGTCATCTAGAAGTGCCATATTTTAAAAATTTGCACTTCTATTAGTGTCGTTTAGTTATTCTTTATATAGCCTGCTTTAATTTTCTCTGCAATTTGAATTCAAACTAATTTCCTTGTTGTTATAACAATTCATCCCGAGAGCTCACTAGCTCACACAGCGATATTGTGCATGACTAGTAATGATGATGGTGACCACAATAAACAGATTTTTAAATAATGTTTCTTTCAATCTCCTCCAAGTAACGGATGTAGATGACATGTAGAAATTGAATCCAGCAAGAAATGTAGGCTATATACATAGGCCTAGGCCTATTTGTATTTTTGTTATCATTAGCTATTAAATATTTATAGTTATTGTTTATTATTTTAGTTGAGAAAACTATTTTAATTTTACTCATTTTTATGTAGTAAGCATTATTCATTATTACTGTAAGTCATTAATTTAGTGTTTTACTGGTAAGAACTATTAATAGTTATTATAAATTATAATTTATTATTAATAATAATAATCATCATTAATCCTATTATTTATATACTAGAATGGAAGTAGACACTGAAGAGTTTTTGCAGAGTTTTTCCTTTTTGTTTATGCAAAAATAACAGAAATTAGTTGGTGTATGCATTTGTATGTATTACCATGTTTCTTAAAAAAAATTGTAAAAAAAAGAAAATTCCTGAGACGTGGCATTATTTTTCTGGTAGGCCTAATTGTATATTATATTTTTGCCATTAATAATCAACTTAATTTAGTTTTAAATATGGATTATAGTCCTCATTCACTCAATCTTCACTTCTGAATTGGCATTTACTTCTCATGTACAAAATGCACAGCTCACAATAGAATGACGGGAATATTTTTTTCTTAAGCCCTGTCCACACTATCATTACCGTATACTATTAATAGACATGTCACATGTCTGGACAGGCTTTTATTAATTCCTGTATATCATCATGTTTACATTAATTGCTAGAAATACTAGCACCGTTTTTAAGTCTGTTAATTTGGGAAATACCGAGGGAAGAGGCCGGGGAGGGTGTTCACAGTTGCTGTAAAGCCAATTTGTTAAAAACAAAACCGGTAGGCCATCTAATTGTATGATTTGCAAGTCCATGAAGTCCATTTGTCTCAGTAAAGCTTGTAAATTTTGTGAAATGGTACATCTATTCACACCTAGATGTTTGACTTTAATTCAGGCATGTAATAGGACATGCATGACTACAACTCTTATCAACGTGCATCAATATATTCTGCAACTGTCAGCAGGCTCCAATACAGCACATTGCTGCCATGTATTATGTGCTAACATCGTTTTTGCTATTATATTTATTAGATGGACAAATGCACATTTAATTGAATTTTTTTCTAAACTTTAAGATGTAGTCTGCCAAAAAATTATAATAGGAAAATCTCAAGAATTCATTTAAATTTTGAATAGCTCATTTAAAAGAATACAACTTTAGGTCATTAACTTCCAACTACAAACAAGGTAAAAATACTGTATCTACAGATATTTTACTCTAAGAATCCTTAAATTGATTATTAGCCAATTTAATGGTCTATGGGGGTCATAGAAGTGGGTTTTTACTTTTTAGAAAGCAAAGTAGAAATTGCCTTTATCCATATCCTCGTAAATTAAAGGAAGACATATTGTCTGACTGAATAATTTATGAACACTAGGAGGCTTAAAACATAGGCTAGCAAGTTGATTAAAATAGGACAGAGGTAGGAACATTGTGGACAAGGGTCAAGTATGTCATCCTTATAAATATAATGTGGTTGTATTATATAGCACTTTATACAATTGATAAATTGTCTCAAGGCAAAAGTACTAAATTAGTAAATAAAGGACTAATAAATACAGGTATAATACTACAGAGAAAAGGTGCTTTTTACATTAAAATAAAAATATGGGGTTTTAACTGAAGTTTAATAATTAACACCAAAGCTGTTTCACAGCTTAGCGCATATGCAAATGCTTTATCTCTGTACATCTTCCGTCAAATATTAGGCATTAGGCACTTCATGCAAGAGGACAGGGAACCGTCTAGAATGGCTATTCAGTTAAGCGCCCTATTGTTTACTGTTGTCTTCACGCTCTGATGAGCACAAAACAACCGTCCACCCATCCTGTTGCGTAAAGTGCCTATTATGGCTGTCTACGGACCATTTTCAGCAATCCGACTCAGAATTTTTTTGCTGACAGTTTGATAAATCCGGGCCCTGTTGCTTTCTCACATTGTATGACAAAGTATTCTTGGTAATACAAGATGAAAATTCACAAGTCAGGTTTGTATGCAAGCTGGTATATTTATTTGGTACACACTGCATTACAACACGAAGTTCACAAACTACAAAGGGTAAGCGAAACAAAAAAAAAATCAAACCGAATTCTCAACGAAAAAAAGGACTTCATTAATGCACGCTTTATTGCGAAGTAAATAGAAATCTTTAAATTTGTACAAAAAGAACATAAATACAATCTTCAGCTCATCAAAATCTGGAATTTACTCATAAGAGTGAAAAAAATTAAAGCAATGAAAGAAAAGGGAAGCATCTTTTTTTTTGGCAAGTAATATAGATTAAATATATAAAAAACAATGTATATCTGTACAAAAACCAATCATATCTTAAAAATATTACTCAATTCTAATTTCAACTACATTAACCACTAATATTTAAAGTCTACAATTCCAACTATATATTTAGCTCTAATATGTATATCAAATAGAATAGTAATTTATATGGAAATTTCAATATTTAAGTCCGATATTAATGAATTCTACATTAGTGCACAGAGTATATAATTATGGTTGACTATCCTGTGCCCATTCTTTCGTCTCAAATTAACTATACAGGTGAAAGGATTTTTTTCTCTTTTGAAAATTTGAATGGTGGTGGTTTTGAAATCAGCTTCAACAGGAATATTTTGTAGGTGGAAGCAGTATTGCACTATGGAGAGGGTTTGGTCTAGATATGGAATGAAACAGGAATTTTGGTATAAGCCAGGAACTTTGTACAATAACTACTACTACACACGGATATTCTCCAGATGGTTGGTAGCACACTTTAGACACTTAATGATGGTTACCTGAAACTATATACAATATTTAGATCTTTGTTGTTACATTCTTTCACATACTACAGCCATACATTAGCAGACAGGGTGGTGTTGTAACACCAATTTAAGAGCTGCATGACATGGCGATTAGGCCTTCTATCCAAAAAAACCAACTTTACAAACAATATTGTCCTGTGTATATAGTAATGCACATTAGCATCTATATCAAATACAGAAAATAATGCACATTTATACAGTTAACAAAAAAGATAATGGAAAACATGTGATGTAGATTAGACTGTGCATAAGTTTAACAAGGACATTCACAATTTATGTAATACCTAAAGAGGATTTCTTGCAGCTTACAATTCTTACAATTCAGTCTAATTCAAATTTTACTGCTGGGTCTCTTCCTCGCAGATTATCATTTCTTGTGTCTGAGAGAGCCAAGAACAAGCAGAAGCCTACAGCACTTGCAGAGCAATGCAGATTTTGAAGAATATTTAAAATGCTAGTTTGTAGCCAATCGAATCAAGCATACTTGTACATGAAATTGATTAATAAACAAGCTTTTTGGAAGAATACATTACATTTTCTATTTACCAATGTTTGATGCTTTTCACAGAGAAATAAGTTTAGAATGTAAAATGTTATTACATCATTTACTCTCAAAATGATTTTGACTTCTTAATATGATTTTTAGATCTGATTTCAGGATTTCCCTTAAATTCTCTAGTTATATTAACTGTTAGTTTGTATGAATTAAAAAAACAAACAAGAATGCAAAACTCAATGTCTGAACACTTAATACAGCTGTTAATGTTGCATTTATAATGCTGTCTCAATGGTTACTTGTTAGGAGGCCGCTTCACTTCCATCACCAGAGCCAATCTCTTTCTTGCGTTCTCGTACTTTCTCAATGCGTTCATTCTGTAATGAATTCAACATTTATTCTTTATAGGAAAGGAACAACTAGAGACAAGTATATCTAAAAAAATTAAGGTTTTTGTATAATACAAGTACCATACAGCTTCAGGGCACTGTTAAAACAAAGCACATCCACTATTCCCATCACATGCACCGCCAGGGGAAATTTAATTTCAGCATTCCCATATAATTATGTTTGTATGGACTGACGCCCGTATTCTTAAAACGAAATTTAGTCGAACTTCAAACTAGAACTTCATTTAGTCTTAGTTGCAACTTCAATTTGTATTCACAAACAATGTAGTAGAAGTTCTAACTACGACTAAATCAAGTCCTAGTTGTAATTCAGCTGAAGACGACTGGCAAGCAACAACTATCAACCTAACCAATAAAAAGAGCTAATTTTAATAGCAGACGAAATTTTAGAGATCGGAAGAATATTAAATTGCCGTTATCTTTCAAAAACATATTTCCTCATAATTCATAATTGACCATTATTCGCCTAACTAATATTATATAATAATAATTATATTAGTTGTTAACATCAAACGATAGAGAAGTTGAACTGTCACTAAAAATTTGCTTTCTTTGAAGAACTATTATAGTTGAGGTCGAGCGAGGGCGGCGCCATCTTTGTTGTTGTTTACGGTGAATCTACGTGACCGCAACACAAGAGGATTTCATGAAAATCAGGAATTGTTGCATGTGGCTAGCAAAACATGCTAATTTCGCCTTTTGGAAGCTAAACGTAATGTCCCTTTTCTTAACACCGTGGAGATACATCAGACCTACTTATACAATCGTTTTTATTCATTTCACTTTATCGTAAGTTACAAAAAGCACGTTTTCATTGGGGTAAATATTTAAAGTCGGCGATTTAGCCTGACCCTAGGCTGACTAAAAAAATTCGGCCTGCGGAGGTATAAAGGCCAACTCAGACAGCGTCGGCCGACGCAGCCCGACGCGATTTGTTGTCGCGTCGGGTCTGTGTGAGTTGAACGCAGACGCGATGGTGTGCGTCGGGGGCAGTCGCGTAGTAGAATATTAAACATGTTTAATAATTCTCACGACGGCTTAAGACTGTCCCCGACGATAAATCGGGTCGGGCTGCGTCGGCCGACGCTGTCTGAGTTGGCCTTAATTTTAGGTGAGGTTCGCGTAATTTAGTCATAGTGCTAGTCGAAGTTCGTTTTAAGAATACGAAATGACGTAATTTTTAAGTTTTAGCTCGAACTACGACTAAAGTTTGTTTTAAGAATACCAGGGAGAGGATTCAATTCCAAATCAAAATACACAGACATAGAATGGTTTATAATTATGTTAACACAGGCTCTCTCTGCTGCTTACAGTAACTGTATACACCAGGGGTGGATTGCTATAAGCGGTCTTTAGACGGTCTTAACGCTTAGGAGGCTTTAATCGTGACATCACTACTGTTCTATGATTATAGACCATTGCTATACCACGATCTAACTAGTAAGCAGTCTTAAATTTTAAAGCCTACTTGGAGGAGGCTTAAAACAGTCTTAAATCATTTTCATCATGGCACTACAGGTACTAGACCTATGTCTGATCGTCAAAGAATAAGAATCGAACGACGAATATTCCATCAGCTTCTTAGTGTCTGTAAAAACTGGTCTACGTTTATTGTTTTGAGCAAGCGTAACAGCGCCCTCAATTTTATGTTACCAGGAAGTGCGTGTTTGCGTTTCAATACTCAAAGCTATCTACAGTAAGTGCTGAAAACAGTTATAGCAATGGTCTTATTAGAGTAACTTTTAGTAAGACCGTCTAAGTTATAAAGTCGGCTTTATTCGAGAAGTTAAGACCGTTAATAGCAATCCACCCCAGTAAAAGTAATAATAGCATTTAATTCTTGTTAATAGTGAAATGATTTGTGGCTAGGAGCATTAAGTTAACAAGTAACATTTAATCAAAATAATCAAGAAACAACAATTTGCAATTTAGTAACTTTTAGTCAACAAACACTGATTGGCAAATGGGAGTGGGCATGACATTCAGTGTTTGACAAACAGTACCACAAGTGTAAAAGTATGGGGAAAAAATGTCATGGTTTTAAAAACACTGCCCACTGGTAGCGAGAAATAACTTACAAGTAAAAGTAGATGCTAAATTGTAAAAATACTCATTCTAGCATTCCCATAAAATGTTGAGAGAAGCACGTAATGTTGGGAAAAGCATGTAATATAATCCGTCGAAAACTTTAAAATTTTAACGTCTTAAAATAATAATTATATCATCATTTTCACTGTATGAACACCAAGTCTCTGAATTATGGTTTTTACTATAAGTACTATTGTTTAGAACAGCAATTTGCAACCATCAAGGCAAATTTAAGATGTTTTATAAATACCAAATATTATTTCAAACAAAATTTTAATTATAAAATTACCAAATTTAATTATATACGAATATTATGCATTAAATGATTCAAACAAAAAAAACAAAGCAAATGCTTTACTGTACACAGCCCAGCTAAACCTAAAGAAACTAGAATTAGTCATTTTATGTTAATTTGAGTATTAAAGCATAGCATCTTAATAACCTGTTAGAGAGCATACTTAATCATGATGATTCATGCAGAAATATATCATGCAGAAATTTTGGAATCACACCATAAGCACGCACTTTCATTTGAATGCACGGCAACTGTAAGCTTGATCAATAATACATTCATGGTAGAACACGAATACCTAATGATTCCACCAATCACCACATAAAATAATCCAATTTGCTGCAGCAGTGCACGGTGAGAGCCTTATGCAATGTAAACTACTCCTAATGACTCATCGTCTTCAAGACTGCGTATGTGTTCTGTCATATAAAGTACATTACACCTCACTATGCTAATGCTAATCATATTTCTAAATGACAGTTATCAAAACTCTTGACTCAATCATTCCATACGGTATTGGTAATGAAAACAAACTGCTTAGGATTAGGAACAACGTGACATGTTATTATACAGCTGTATACTCGGTATTTCTCCAAATACTTGTGAAAAAAACCTTGCAAGTGATTTAGTTGGAAATAGAAACCACTTAATGCATACAATACCTTTTCTTTTGCCTTCTGCTTACGCTCCTCCTCCAATGCTTTGTAATTTTCCTCGAACTTCCCCATGTCAGCATCAATCTTTTCTTTGGTAGACTTCATGAAGTTGTTATTCTGTTCCTTTACTTTCGACTGAACCTGCAATATCTGCTCGTTCTCTTTGGCCAGTTTTTCTAATAGACTACTTTCCATAGACTGTGGTAAAAGAAATTTCAGTTGGTCCTATTTGGAATGTTCAACTTAAAATACAAACCAAATGTTTTCTTTGTTTAATGCATCATATATTTATACTTATTTTTCTTAATAAATTTGCCACATTCTTCAGTGAGAAACAGTTTCCATTGACAGTATAAATTAGATTTTAAAAGTTGTGAACAAATTATTGTGATACTTAATAGGTGTAAAATATTTATACCAGTAAATAATAAACATATTATATCTATTATTTAAATGTGATACATGTTAATTAGTAATATTTACTGGTAATAATTAAAAATGCTGTTTCAAGGGGTGCTCTCTTTTGGGAGAGTATACGCAATTAGTCGGCTTATCCAGTTAAGTATTCACAAAGTAAACAAGGAAAGTCAAAGTAAACTACTAAAAACATACATTTAATTTTAGAAAATTTGCAATATACAGTACTGTACGTGTAATAAATAAAAACAAAAACAAGAATGCTCCCGTGCTCTCAGCTCTACACACTGCTCCCAGCAAAGCATCTTGCAATTTCCAATATTTATAGCAGAAAATATGCCTACAATTATAATTTGAGCCAAAGGTAAATATTTTTGAATTCCTGTACAATAGTAAACTAACCTTTAAAGGCACAAGCAAATATTAGGTAATTGCAATTGAATCTATTTCTTTTCCCCATGGCTGGAGAAATTACTATTGCTGCAGTAGTAAAGGACAAAGTTTATTTTATCAACAAAGGCCAACAGTTGTCTTATAAAATGGACTCTTCCGGAGTCACTCAAACAAACAACCGACCAATCAGAAGGGGACCTAAAATATGTCTTATAAACACTCCTGTTTATACAACTACAATACTTTTGTGGGAACTTAAGACAAATATACCAGGGATGGAGCTGAGCAGAATGGTTCAATAGAAACAAACCACCCTCTAATGATTTGTTAATGGTCCAACTAATTACATGATTGGACTAGTTTGGCGGTTTTATTTTAGCTTCTATCAGACCACAAGGAATTATTTCATCACTAAACTGACATGTAAACAAATAACAAAAGCACATTGATCTATTTTTTTCAAAAAATAACTATAAAAACTACCGCTAACTGAAAAATAAGACTGTGTTAAACATACCTTCCTTCGTTCTTCTGCCGCAGCTAACTTGCTGTTTATTTCATCCAATGAATGTTCACTCTTGCTCTTAGGGGGTGAGGGCATTTTGCTAGTGTTAGGCACTTCTTTGCCAGGCTCCAAATCCAAAACAAAAGCAACTCCTCCATTAGACGTCTTAGTTTCTGCACAAGAAAGCGATGGAAATTTAATTAGATTTGGGTTTACAGAATAAAAATAAAATGTACAGTACCTGTACTTATACATGGATCTAGTTAATCATGTTAGTATTTTGCATCTGTGCCCTTTGCTATCTCAAAATCTGCTGGCTTTATTTGTATTGAGAGAAATAATACTAAATTGGAACACAGCAGAAATACTTGAGCAAGGCACTACACTAAAAATATTTTTACCTGGCTTTTGGGCATACAGAATACAAACTGATAAATCCCAACGCCTAAAGCTATAGGTAAGCATCACAACATCAAGCCACAACAACTACAAGTAGGCTATATACAGCGCAACTGTTAATGAGAAGCTATCCATCAAATTGACTGAATTTTAGAATAAGCAGGTCAGGCCTGTCTATAACAGTAATTACCGGATACACAGAAAAATAATGCTCATGAACTCATTATGGTTTGTCATTAACTGCCACTACTCGTCAGATCCTCTCAGTATTGATCAACATGGCATTATCATCACATTATCATAATCATCATTAAATTTATTATACAAAAACAAGCCTTTAATTGCTACTTGTACTGCGTGTACAGCATGTCATACTCTATGTACAGCATGACACACAAATCTTGGAATTGACACAAATTACACTATGTGAAAGGCCAAATGGTGCGAGTAGGTTGTAGCAGAGTGCATCGCAGAAAAGAAATTAAATTAAATTTTAGCCTAACAGAATACTACTGAGTAGCGATGGTGATGTCTAATTTATCGTTTTTTTTAAATTAACATATTTTTTTTAATACTCAGCTCCCAACCTGAGTAGGTTATTTGTTCATTGCCCAGACATATGATTGGATTTTATAATTTCCTATTTAATGCACATTTATTTTAAAATCATTGTTTCAACAATTTATTAACTGGAGAAATGCTTACAGTACAATGTTACTAATCGTATTGTAGAAACTGTGATACTTTTCTGTAGTACTCCTAATTTAAAATGCCTGTTCACCCACTCACATCCTCTGTAAATTAGATTTCATTATATTCTGAGGTGAATATTAAAATTTCTAGCTAGCAACAAAGAGAATAATGTACTTTATTCTTTCAGGATTAAGATTTTGATGTTGACCTTTTTCAAGATGATTGAGACAGTGTGCTATGACTATGATAACGGCAGACAGAATCGCATTCAGTATACCACCTGCTACATGCCTCACAACACACATATTAAGAGAAGAAATATTGGTTTTCCATACGTCCATTACTTTAACCACCGACATTAGTCATAATGATGAAGATAATCATATGCCGTACGAACAGTCGCTTGCCACTCCTTGCATCCAATATTCAATGTCTTTCAAACGAACGAGTTAAATATTGCTGTAGCTCACCAAATGGGGTTTTTAAAAGTCTTTTTATAGAGTAAAAGAGGTTATTTTTTTCATGCTACAGTAAATTATACTTAAATCTGTTTTATTAGTATATATCCAACATAATATTCAACACTGATTTTACTCAGAAAATGTTATCTTTTAGCAATTTGGTATAAAATAGGCTCCCGCCATAACCTGATGGCCAATGTAGTGTAATAAATCATTCACAACTCAAATCTGCTAAATTTGCTTGAATGATATTGCATTAAGAACAAAACCATACAGATAATCATCATCATTGCTTTCATGCACTGACAACTTGTGACAACTAATTTTTTTTTTTTTCTGTGATAAAAACATTCCATGACTTACCAGAAGGCATGTTGTTCATGTAAATTCTGGTTGAAAACTTTGCTCTATAGAATAATATATATAAGGCACTATTCACCAGTAAGGACTGATCTGTGGAAGACAATGAACACTATGTCAGTAACAACAGGCCCGTATCGGGGGGGGGGGGCCTTTCTAGCAAACCCACTCTTTTCTGGCAAACCCCCCCCCCTTTTCAAATTTCCCAAATACTAAAGTCCTCCAACCCAACTAATGCACTGCAGAGCCACCCAGACAAAGACCTTTTCAAACATATCTGCTTTTATAGCATTATTTAGACAAATAAAGCACAAAAATCCCCTTGCTTTGGGGTTTCGCCGACCCCACCGGGGCTTTGACCGTGGACCTTACGCCCAGAAAAACCCCCTTGAAAGAACCTGACTACGGGCCGGAACAATATCTAGGCCTTACAAAGTAACCATAAATAGGTGAAATTACTCCAGGCTTTAGATTATACAGTATTTGAATATATAGACTAGTAGCATCTCATTTGAAATAGTCTAAACTACAGTAAGAAGTGAGTGTATAGGCTTAAGAATGAATTATTATAAATACAGTAAACTATAACATTTTACAATCTGTATTTATTTTTAGGAATTTAAAAAGCTAATTAGCAAAAATTATTATAAGCATGGATCATTAGGGAATAGGTCATCATTAGCAGATCAGTAACTAAGGCCTGTCCATTATCAAATGGATATTAACATCATCCAACCATTTAACTAACTAGACATATTGCATTGGCTGCAAACCCACTGAATACAAAATTTACTATAGGACCCTGTTGTTTTTACAAATTCATTCATTTCCTTTTAATTACTTTGTTGGTAAATAAGTTACCAGATCATCAAAACTTTACAGTAGAGTATAAATTATAACAGCACAAACAAGTGTATACTTTTATTTTCACAAACATTGATTTTTTTTTTGGCTGTAGACAAAAAACAGCCAAATTCATTGGGGTTCAAAGGAGGTGTTGGCTAATGCATTAAAAGAATTTTCCAATCCAATTTCCTACCATTTCACAGACAGAAATGTGTCCCTTTAATTATGTCCTGCTATAAATAAGTGAACATAATGTTGAAATTTCTCTGCCCCTAGTCCACACTTTCGTGTTTGCGGGATTGGCTTTGAATCCTAGGCTACACCCCTATGGAAATTTTAAAAAGGTCCAGACTATAAATTGCACTTTTTTGCAGATATATAGCCTAGTTACTGCAAGTATCTTGTCTTAGGACATTTGTTCTTTTAATAAAGGTAATAAAAGCGCACCAAAAATGCAACTGTTAACTAAATTCAGCCAAATTACATGAAGAAAGACGTCAAACACTGCGACCACAAGTCAAGCAAACAGAAGTACGACACGTCATACCAGTGAATCGGACTATCACGCTTGAGAGATTTGTTTACCCCATGAGAGCCAATTGTGGTTTGGATGGTTTTTATATTTTTCTTATTTTCCGATAAAACTACCCAACCAATCATATTAAGTTTTTTATCAAGCTTACTATATTCCCTTTATGAATCCACTTGGGCCAACTCGAACCAAGAAATAGTCTGTGAGTGAGGGAGTAAGAAACAAGCTCGGAACAGCCAAAAACCTCAAATTTCTTGAAACTAAACTGTAAAGATTTTTTTCATTTCTTTCTCACGAATTGGTAGATTAATATTTTTTACAACATAATCCACTTGGGCGATTACAAGAAAGTCATAGATTTTGTACCTAAAATGTACTTTTGTGAGAAAATCCAGTTTTCTCCAATGGCTAAGGCAACCTTGGAGAGCAAATGATACAACATTTCCATATGCATCAATATGGCTACTATCAATCAAAACAAAACCATTTCTTTTCATACTAGCCTATGCTCAACCACATTTTTGTTGTACTGTAATAAATCCAATTTGTACCAAAACCACATTTATTTATTTATTTTTAATTTAGTATAAAGAATACAGTAAGTAAATAGACTTTCAGATAGGCCTATAAATTTAGTATAAATAACACCCACAGAAAAGAAAAATTACTGAATATTAATAATTTATTAACAATTCATGAAAATATATCAAATTAATTTACACGAAGACAGGCCTAGATTATAAAACTGTTACTATGGACTAGGCTAGCCCACATACTACATGTACATGGCCCTACTCTAGCTAGGTCCATAGTAGTACGCCTACTACTAAGCCTACTACTTAGGCTACGCCTAGGCAAAGATAATCTATCTTAGGCTTAGAAGCCTAGGAGGACCACCCTAATATGCAACCTACACCCTACTTTCTTATAGGCCCTAGGCTATATCATATATACATATGTTTCATTGATGTAAAGTAACTTGAAACTGTTGACTTGAATATTGCTCAGGGAGCCTCAAGGGGAAAACAGACAATTGATATCATGACCCAGGCACGGTTCACAACAAAATTTAAAAACAGAAACCTCCCCAGCCTTGCCCACATTTTCAAAATAGTCTTATATGTAAAATAACTATTCATGATTATATTTTGTCCCGAATGTACTACCAAAGTCAATAGGCATATATACTGACAAGATTCCGATTATTTTAAAGTCAAAAGCAATTAAAAATACAATAATATAGGCCTAAAACATACCCTTTTCTTACTCTTGCTGTCTTTCAACCTGTTCCACACAGAGAATGCAAAGAGAACATGCGTGTGACGACGAACATGGGTGGAACACTAGCTGTTTGCCATGCGCGAATGAAGTAATTATTCAAATTATGTAGAAATTGCATAGCATTCTGATTGGTGAAAAGGTGAGCTATCGAATTATTTATGAGGGCGCCATTTCGTTCTTTACTATCGTTATAGAATACTGTAATCGACATCAACCGTCGCACCAAATTGGTCGCACGTCATTTACTGGAAAGATCTGTCTTTTCCATCCCTGACAGCTTCAATTTAATCATTTAATTTACAGTAATTCAATTAAAAAAATAATCACTATTATGCAAAATATTTAATAAATATATATATATGTAGGCCTATCGAATACATACAAGCCTGAATACTGTATTATTTATATATATAACAAAAAAGAGCTTACGTTGTTGATTGTAGTATTTGCTCTTTATATTTTCATTTTTATAATTCGTATTACAGTGCTCTTATTTAATGTCGGTATAATCTTAATACTTGTTATTCTGTATTTTGTTGTGTTATTATATTGTATTTTTGAACTTTTAGTGTTTACAGTATTGTTAAATATTCTGTTGTTCTTTTTCAGACATATTTTATTTGTTCAGTTGTAAGTTACTTTCCTCTGTCATTTTCTTTGTTCAATTTGACATGCCTGGTTTTTGTCATTGTCTTTACAGGTTGGGCGGAACAGGCAATTACTGTTCGCTTTTCTTTGCCAAGATTGATTAGTTGAATCGAATCATAGAGCATAGAGTTTCTTTGCTCTATGCTTGAATACATTACAATTTACTGCTTGTTTTTTTTTACACAGATGTATTAACTTGTCTTATGCTTTAAGTTTTGTTCATTTATTAGGGTGGAATTACAATTTAGTTATAACATGGTTATAGCATCGCAGTGTTGAGCGAAAACATTTTAATTTCGAAATTCTGAATTTTCATAGATGAAATTTTGCTTAGTGTTTTAGTTGTGCTGATTTAACCATTATAATCCTTGGTCCTCGAACTCTTTTGGTCCAGGTACATCTTATATAAACCATTAAGCCTAGTATATTGGGGGAGTTTTTGAACGATTAATATTTGCTATTAATTTTTTTTTTTTTTTTTTTTTTATCAAGATCTTTTATGAGCTAATTTCTATTTCTACTTAACAGTTTACTCTGTATAGGCCTACTGTAGCGGTGACCCCGTGGGTTCAGTCTATGACCCTTTACAGAGTGTCGATCTTTACAACTGACCAAACTAGACAAGGCCAGGAAACGTCGTATTTGTCCCACAACACGTGCGTGTGTAATTGATTACGTTAATGGTGTCCTTTTGTGGGATCTCAATCCAAGGCGTAGATCAGAACTGTCCATTGGAAATGAAAGATCCTTTTACGATAATAGAACACGATGGCTTTTGATTGTGTTTTAAAAATTTTCTATGCAATCTCTCAGCCCACAGGCCATTCGGTTGCGATTTTCAACAGAATATGAAACACATAGGATGGGTGTAAAATATAGGTTAGGCCAGTGTTCGGAATAGTTGCTGCTGGTTTAAGAGTATTGGTGCAAGGCTATCCAGAATGTTTGATAGTGCATGTTTTCATCAGTCGGGTAATGCAATACCATGTAGTCTCTGTATTTAGGCGGGAAGAAGCGTACCATTACGATCGAAAAACTGGGGGTCGTCTTATACGCGCAACACATTTTTTATTAATTAAATCATGTTCGCCTTATGTGCAGATTGTCCGTAACACGCGAATTTACTACTGAGATACTAACTGGTACTTGTAGTGGGCCTATGATGAACGTATATGCGTGAAAATAAGATTTTGACGAACTTAAAAGCTCATAAAATGGTTAATTTTTAGAAGTTTAACCCTACATTTGGCTCCGGTTTTAGCCAGCTAGATGTATTGAGACCATAAAAAAAACAGCAAAATGTAGGAATTCCGACGGTGAAACAGGGAGTCGTCTTACTGATATATGGCCGACATACAAAAATCGTCAAAAAATCTTCTCAAAATCGGGGGTCGTCTTATCGCAAGAATATACGGTAAGATAATAATTAACTATAATGATGATCGAGTTTCCCAAGTAGACACAGCAAGGACTTTCAGTTTGCTTGGATGAGTGTTATTTATTTTATGAATCTCTCTCAAACTTGCATGCAAACCTGATCATATAAACACAAACATCAAACATTTGCAGTTGTGATTAATAAATCTCTGCATGGATATAAACTTTTATTATTACAGTATGTCACAATGAAGATCAAAACATTTATGAAAAGGGGCATCAACAACTTGCCACTCTTGTCAACCACAGAATACACCAAACAAAATGTGAAAAGGTATTATATTTAGATTGTAGATGGGAAAGTGGAGAATAGGGAAATTTCAGATCGAGTGTGAAAGGGCACTTTAGATTGTAGACAGGGAGACTGTAGACATGGGAGCTAAGTCCACACTATTACATATTTATGCAAATAATGTGAGTTTTACTAGTCTTGGGTGGTTAAAATAGTCTACAGGAATCTCCTTACGGCACAATGCACAGCGTTTGCTCCTGTCTCTTATACACGTACCTATTACCACTGTTGCATACCATTGCACATTGTGATAAATGCTGTTTCTATTCCTATTTACTACAGATACTGGTTCTTTTTACCACCATTAAATCCACAATGGGTACATAATCAACTTGGATATTGTCATTGCTGTATATCCCTCTTCTCTTTTAATTCCAAATACTTTAGATGACAAAATGAGGGACTACGTCACAAAAAAAAAAAAAAAAAAAAAAAAAAAAAAAAAAAATTATGCCATTGTTTTGAATGTGTTCGATTACACATGTGTTACATTTGGTTTAGAGTCTTTCCTCTGGTTTTGTCTTACAGCTCGACCAGGCCCGTGCGTACTCTCAGTTCCATCTTCCTGTACCTTCTGGGGGTTTGTGGAAGTAAGTGAATTTGTTCTCTTTGGCAGTGGTGGAGGAATTAATTCTGGCACAGCTGCCCGAGCTCTGGTCATTTGTCTGGCCGATTGCCTTCGAGGATTGTCATTAATATTCAACCCACTCATTTGTCCAACAAAATTCATGGGGGTAGGCAAAGGCTCGGCTTTTCTGTCATTTAAGTAGCTTGCCGGCGCCATTTTAACAGAGTCGTAAACTGAGGGTGTTGGCAGTTCCACTTGTTCATCATTGCTAAACATACGTCCTGATCTCTTTTTAGCATTCCTAGAGATCTTTCTGCTGGGTTGACTAGTATTGGTAGATGAAGCATCAGGGTTGGCAAGCTGTGCAATATTGTTCTGTGGGGCTGATCCTGCTATTTCCGATCTCAGGTTCTCATACAGTAAATCAGGATTATCACTTGAGAGTGATTCACTCATGCTACTACGAGTTGATACCATGCTAGTATACCCACTGGAATTAGTTTGATAACTTGACTGATCCCAGTCTGGTTGTGGATAATCCCCATCTGAGTTGACATAATTATGAGGTGTATTGGTACTAACAGGGTGGAAGGTGTGGGAACTAAGTTCATTGGCAGGGTTACTGATGGTTGAATATTCTGGTGCCCCATCTGAATTTGTGAATTCTAGTGAGCTGGCATATATGGGATCTGTTGAAACATCAGAGTTCGACTTGCTTACCGTTGGAGTTGTGTCTGAGCCGCCATCATCCCCACCATCACAGGAGCTACGTTTCTGTTCAACTTTTACCGTTTTTTGCATCTTCAAACCAGCAACTCCCTTTTTAGGGGCACATATCAAGTCACGTTTAATAATTCTCTGTCGTGTTGGATCGTTGCGACGCATTTGCACCATATTTTCAAAGTCAATAATATAGAGGAAGCCAGCAATGAGAATTTCAATAGACTCTTTTTCTTCTGCATAGCCTTTTTCTAACTCTTCATTTGTCCTTTCATCATACTGCCACCAACCATTTCTGCCCTCGTAATACCATGTATACTTTTCTACATGTGCAGTTTCCTCATTTTCATTACCTTGTAGTTCCTTGCTAATTTTTACTAGTCTTGGGTGGTTAAAATAGTCTACAGGAATCTCCTTACGGCACAATGCACAGCGTTTGCTCCTGTTGGCAGCACCCTTCACGCACAAGAAACAGAAGATATGACGACAAGGCAATTCCACTGGGTAGATACATGTTTGAAGACACACTGAGCATTCCAATATGTTGTCTGAAGAAAAAGCTTCCAATTTTGCTGTCATTCTGATACTATGAATGATAAAGAAAAAGCATTGTACTGTTTACATTTCAATGTTCATTTAATATTATTCAATGGCTAAAAAACAAAAATAAGATCTTGTTTTGTAAGATAATAGTTTTATAATTATCAATTAATTACTGTTTAACTTATAACAAAATGAGATTCAGAAATATACAATGCAATCATAGAAAATGTCAGAAGCTGAAAAATTGCGGTCAAGTAGTTAAAAATCACGTAGTAGTATCACTTAATATTTTGTAACCTAGCACCCCTCATTATTTATCAAAACACACGCCCAACTCAACCTCTGCTATGCCCATCATCCCCCACCACCTCCCAATTCTGGGCTTGGAGACACAGACACTGCAGCGGAATTTAGAAATAAAAGAGACTAACAGAGAGGGCTGGTTAAGTCCTCCAAGAACACCATATCCTCGGTGCTACTACTATGTAGGGCTATAGGGTGATATTGATAAAGTACATCTCCAGCAAGTGACAGTCTGTGCAGTGTACAAAACAGTCAGTAGAATCAGGGAGTTGTTGTTACTAGGTTGTTGTTAGGCCTAGCTAGACTCTAGTCTCACTACACACAGGCTTTGAGGCCCTGCTAGAATGGGTAGCCTGGCTTTGTAGTAGGCTGTTTTCTAGGCTAGGCCCATGGATTGGTAGGTAAGCAAATATATCACAGAGAGCAAAACAAAACCATAACGGATTAGTACATAAAAGGGTCAATTTAATCTGATATCAATATAGCAAATGGGCATTTTATATACCAACATATTTACCGTAAAACCAGAAAATTTGATAACTGCTTTGACACTTCGATTTCTACAAAACACCACAAAAAGACAGAGGAATCGCTCACATTACCAATTAACTTGTCGCCCTCTATACGTAACCGCCGAAACAAGACGATCGCTAATGGAACGTCATTGGTGCCTTCCTTCAACCATGGAGGAAATAAAATTATTATTTCCTCCATGCTTCAACGCAGAATCGTCCTGCTTGCTGTACTGTGTAGTGGCAGGGAACAGTAATTTCACTGTTCCCTGGTAGTGGTCATCTTGTATTCTGTATTGCCCAATTGACATTACGTTATTTTCTTTTGATAGTTCGTATTTCTCAATCGACATTAATATGTTTATCTCATTTAGTATCCTGTATTGCCAATAATCAACCAGTTCTCGTGTGTTCTATTGCTCAATTTTAATCTCATTTTAATTTTGTACTGCTCAATCGACATTAGGTGCCCTATAATTCAACATTCTCATTTAACATTAGGCTCATTTGACATCATTCATGCTGAACAGGTGTTAATGTGAGCAATTATATATACAGTAGATACATGTATAGATGTTTAATTCGATGCTGTCTAAATATTTAATAACTGATCCTATTGTCGTGTAAGAGTTTTTGTACCATAATAATCCACTGGCTGGGCCTGGCATAGCAGTCAGTAGCCGTCAAATAAGGGCAAGATTAAAGAATATATAGTGGCGTCGGGGGCCTGTCTCTTATACACATCTTGGTGGAGGAATTAATTCTGGCACAGCTGCCCGAGCTCTGGTCATTTGTCTGGCCGATTGCCTTCGAGGATTGTCATTAATATTCAACCCACTACTGACTTACATGGCCAGATGAATGAAAATACTCAATCGATGTGCCACCAAATCATAACCATCCTGCACCATGCCCATGTCACCGGGGACGCAACTGCCAAAAACTATTTTTGGCAGCGAAGGGACGCTGCCAATAAACAATCAACAAACTACCGGGTTTCTGGGTTGATTTGCAAGGTATTACAGGCTTAAATATTTTTTACTTAGGGGTTAATTGGTAAAAATCGCACACAAATCATACGACGTCAATGACAACGCCGGGGACGGCAACTCCATTTTGAGATTAATTTGTCGAATAAAGTTATACTAAGTAACTTCTAATGACGAACTATTGTCTTCAGTTGTCTTTGTTGGTCATTAAACTGTCGTTTTATCTATTTTTTCACGTATGTGAAATTGCACAGGGACACCACGCTGTTTTCTGTATTTTTCTTGAAATCTGTATGCCTGATCACCATCATCATGCACAGTATAATAGATTCAAGTAAGATATGATATAAAAATGTATGCAAACATGCCTTTGAAACAGTTTTTTTTTTTTTTTCGAGTTTTACATACCTTAACGTCGCCGTCTTAGAAAGCACCAGGATTAACCACACCAGGGTTAATCACCACGCTGTTTTTGTATTTTTCTTGAAATGTGTATGCCTGATCACCATCATCATACACAGTATGATAGATTCAAGGAAGATGTTTCAAATGATATAAAAATGTATGCAAACATGCCTTTGGAACAATTTTTTTTTTCGAGTTTTACTTACCTTAACGTCGACTCCGTCTTTAGAAACCACCAGGATTAATCACACAACAGTATCCTTTTATAAACCTCTAAACCTCTAATTCCAAAAATAATCAGTAAATCCTGTGCAATAAAAAAAATACATACTTAATTACTAGAGATAGGTCCCTGCATTCAACAATTATGTGGATATTCATTGTACTGTCATTTACTATCAACTATTGGCGGCGTCACTAATTTGGATCAAGACGGCACGTACGAATTATCTTCAATCACTTCCTGATTTCACGACGTGCACATGACAATCGGGACGCTACGTACCCTCTCTCATTGTGTTGACGTTGGGAACGTTTTATCATGCACGATAATACTTTCTTCCTATTTACTATTTGTATATGAATGAAATACTAATTATAGTTCCGTGCATTTTAGAATTCTGAGAATATTCATCGTAATTGTTATTTTTTTTAAAGAAACATCGTACCGACGTCATTATTTTTGATCAAGACGGCACGTCCGGTGAATAATCACAATCTAGTTTTCTACACTAATTTAAGTGTATGGGTAGACTTGCAGGGTCTTTGTCTAATTATTAAATTGATATCACCATAAGCTATAAAAATGTGTAAAATATAAGCATGAAACTGTACTTAAGTCAGTGGCGTATCTACTTCCCCCTCCCCGAAAATTACTAACCCCCCTCCCCTAAAAAAATCACGGTCAAGTAGTTAAAAATCACCTAAAATTACCTTATTTTGCGAATTAGCGCCCTCAACTCATGGACCTATTATTATTCGCACGGTAGACCGTGCGAATAAGCTCTTATGAGTCTTATTCGCACGGTAGACCTAGCCAATCAGCATTTGACGTTTCATGACGTCTAACCGCGCCAATAAAAGCTTTCTTCTTTGTTTGGCTTCTGGCAGTGTTCACAATCACAAAAGCAGCCATGAAAGCCTGATGTCAATGAAGGTCGGTCATGCATTTAGTGACTATGTACAATTCATTTGTTGATTTCATTAAAGAAATTTCAGGACGAAAATAACCTTGTTGTAGAGTACTGACTGTATATACAACAATCTTCGACAATTTATCACAGCTCCCATGGTCTCCGAGCGCTATATGGTTTGTGTATATAATTAGGCCTACAATCAATGTATCCAGTAGCATTTCGAAAACACTCCCACACATTGGAAAAGGTCCAAAAGGCAGTGAAGAATGTACATCAATATAAATCTTATTTTCCAGTACAATATAGTACATATATTCGGTGGTAGATCCAGGATTTATTATGGTAGAGAGGGATTAGGAGAGACTTTTAGAGATGTGCGAGTCTACAGGTGGGCTAAGTGCAGCACACTGCAGCCAACAATATTAAAACCCTATTAAAACTGCACATAAAATCGAGTAACTTTGCATTAGTTAGGCATCCTCTCATCCTCCTCTGTTCCAATTCCCATCATGATTGGTGCTAAGTAATTAATTTTCTTTTCCCCATTTAATATTTTTGAATGGAACAAAAATCAATATCACTACTAGGCCCCTATGATAGGGGACTATAATACCAGTACATACTCCACAAAGGCTTTTTTCATGGCAATTTCTCAAGGATAGCTTAAGAAAAGAGTAAAAGGTCTGCAGACACAATGCTAAGCTAGGACCTATTGTACTTCAGTTAGGGTTATCGAATGGACTGTCTGTGCTGTTCCCAACTCATACGGTATATGCCGTGAAATAAATTATCATACAGTATTATTTCTATCTACAACATTCTACCGTGCGAATACATTCTTTTTCGACAATTCGCACTACCGTGCGAATTAGCTCTTATGAGTCATGAAACCTTAAATGCTGATTGGCTAGGTCTACCGTGCGAATAAGTAAAAAATAGTTGAGCCATGTAGTACCTCGCAAATCAACCCAAAAACCCGGTAGTTTGTTAATTGTAACGTAACCTCTTCCTAATATTAATAGGTCCATGCTCAACTGATCATCGAGTCCCCTCACTTCATCTTAGTGCCCCCAATCATCCCCCACCCCATTTAAAGACATCTAAATACGCCACTGACTTACATGGCCAGATGAATGAAGATATTCAATCTATGTGCCATTAAATCGTAACCAGCCTTCACCATGCCCTCACGATTTCACCGGGGACGCAACTGCCAAAAAACTATTTTTTGGCAGCGAAGGGACGCTACCAATAAACAATTAACAAACTACCGGGTTTTTGGGTTGATTTGCGAGGTACTGTACTACATGGCTCAACTATTTTTTACTTAGGGGTTAATTGGTAAAAATCGCACACAAATCATATAACATCACTGACAACGCCAGGGACGGCAACTCGATTTTGAGATTAATTTTTCGAATAAAGTTATACTAAATAACTTCTAATGACGAACTATTGTCTTCAGTTGTCTTTGTTGGTCATTCAAATGTCATTTTATCTATTTTTCGGTGATATTACCGTGCAGTAGGCCTACTAAATATGAAGTAGGACTATTTAAATAAGTATCTATTTAGGCCTACTTACGTTTTCCATGGTGGTGCGATAAAGTATTGTTGATTAATGTCTATAGATAATATATTGAAGCATAAATATTATCGAATGATATCTTGCGTTGACGCGTCTTCAAAATTGATCGTTTTATATTCACTGCTACTCAATCAGGCACTATTATGATTTTTTAATGATGGGAATTGTATGTATACTCTCCTAATATTTATGAATTAAAAACAGATGCAGTGGTTGATCAACTATTGTTTTTTTTTTTATCACGTCAGTGATCATTCTTCATGACTACGTTTTAGATTTACTTTACTGCAAGCAGATATGGATGATCAATAGTTATATTGTTGTTGTCAATACTTTATCAGAGACTCATGGAATGCCCAACATGCCCTCAACGAATAAAACATATGACTTGACCAATTAGTTCTCAATATTCTTTATTTTTTTTAGATTATTTTATAGATATTTCTGCACGTTACAATGCAGTAAATAAATAAATAAATAAATATCATAAATTCATATTTGTTAAAAGAATCCCAGAATGTATGACCATTACACTTTCACTAATCCCCAACAAGGCTCTGTGTCTCTACTAGATTCGATCAGGTGGATTTTAGGACACTTAAAAGTACCTTAACTAAGTATACTCCGGACTCACATTTGCAAAATGATCAGAAAGAAACGTTGTATCCGTCCCTCCTGGCTTACCATTAAAATGCAAGGCAATCATCCTGCACTGGAGCCCGTTTTTGTTATATTTAAAACTAATTAGTGGATTAGTGATTACAAATGCCAAGATGAAGCGTAAATCTTGACCTGACATAAAAATAATGTAAGATAAAGGTTATGTATATGATATATTTAAAAAGCTGGAGTGAAGTTATGATAATAGTTGCGGGATCAAGCTTATTCCATTCTAAAATGGTTTGTGGTAAAAAAAAAAAGATTGCCGGTGTCGTGTATTTCTGTGTTACAGACAGTTGACAAAATTTAAATTACAGTAGGTTGACGAAACTCACTCAAGGCACTAATGGCGTTCCATAGTCGACAATTCACGCATGGTCTTTTTCGGAAATCTTCAAGATGGCTGAATATGATCTGACTTCGAAAATTGGTCAATATTTAGATCGACATTTGGTTTTTCCTCTCTTAGAATTTTTATCAGTAAAAGAGGTAACGTGATTTGATAATAATTGTATAATTAATACTTGTACTATTACCGATTTTAGGTGTATTAAGTAGATTTTATATAGAGACATATGTTGCTATGTTATATGCCAGGCTTCAGTAATGTGATCAGTTGTACAGTACTGTCTGTAGGCTAGGCGCTGAAGAGGACGTGCATAGGGCTTTTTAAAGTTTTAACTAGGCCCTAGGCGCGTTTGTAGCCCAGGGCTAGGGTAGGGGCCTAGAGATTTTGTTGTACCTGTGAGCATGAAATATTTTATAAAATTCTTTTAGTATCAGACATTATCAGTACAATCAATGAACTATCTTTAGCTTCAATTAAAATAATAAATCAGTTCTGTTGGCCTAATTAATAAAATCAGCAATTGGCCTAGACCTAGCCTACCTTGGCTAGACTAGCCTAGTTTTGGGCCATGCCTATTCTTGGCCTAGCCTAGGAGGCCTAGCTAGAACCAGGCCCCTCCTAGCCCTGCCTAGGCTAGGGCCCCTAGGTCTAGCTAGTGTATAATAGTAGAATTGCGTATCCTAGTAGGCCTAGTAGGCCTAAAGTATGAATAATTTCCTCTCTCTAGTGCCAGACTGGATAGTAGGCCTAGTAGTAGTAGTAAGTAAGGCCTGTGTGTGAGTAATAGGGGAGAGTGGGGTTAGTTGGAACAAAATTTACAAAAATGTCCATATATTCCTGTAACTGTTTATCCAAGAAATGATAACTATATCAGTAAGCACATACATACTCTGTGTGTCATCGATACAGCCAAAAGAAAAATAAAGATTTTTGGCAAAGACAAGCCAAACCAGTCACTGGTCACAAAATTCAATTCAATATATCAATTTTGAGTTAAACAAAATGGTAAAAAATCATTCAAATCTGACATTTCCATATGAAGTTACAAGCATTTAAATATACAGCTGTTTAAGGAACAATATTTGAAAAATTATCCTTCAAAGTTTATCATCAAATCATTAAAAAGTGTTGTTTTAACATTTAAAATTGGGAAAATAACAGCATAGCATGATGTATAAATATAAAGGTTAGTTTAGTGCAATAAAATAGATTGGAACAAGATTTGCAACGAGTGACTGGTTTGGCTTGACTTTGCCTCATTTGTTGATGATAACTCGTAAAAATTGCACAGAAACCAGTCTTTCCATAATTTGCTGACTGAATTTTGTAGGCCTAATTTTTTGCAAAGGGAATATATCCCCAGCGCAGGCCTTATTTTACCATCTGGCTAGTACCTGTCCCCTAGGCATATTTGTTCACTTAATGTGCTGTGTGTACACAACGTATTCTAGGCCTAGTTTAGTTAAGTGTGCAAGAGATTGGTTAGTAACAGAAAAATAGCCCAGAAACCTGGTATAATATATCCAATAATCAAATGATAACAATGAAAGAAGTGAAATACAGTATAACATTTACTACAGTACTATAGTGATTTTTAAACAGTTTACATTATGCTGAAAATAGCAGTTGTAATATAGAGCACTCTTGAAGTGTATTGTTTAAGATTTTCAAATGCAAATTTAATCATTCATTAATTTTTTTCACAGATTTATGATGAGAAGGAAATGCTACAGGGAAAAATAGATCTGCTGAGCAACACCAACATGGTACGTATTAATGTAAAGTACCTAAAGGATATTCTTGCCAAGCCATGGTGCTTGAGCTTATCCCCAGTTTATGTAGTGTGAAGCAGACGTGAGTGTTATACGCCCCCTCTGTATGATGCCAGTCCACTGTAGGTTACTTCCAGCAATTTGTTGGTACCCATTGATTCAACTGAAGCAATGCACCTTGTCTTTGCTCAAGGACACTAGCGAAATGCACAGCGAAGGATTGAAATCCCGAACTCAGGTTGGGAAACCAAACCATTTCCACTGCGCCAAACTGCTTCTGTATATGAAAGTACATGTATTTAAATTCATTAGAGATTAATGTAGGTAAATGTTTTTGCATGGTCTGTAGATTGATTTTGTATAATTAGGGGCCTGCACAGATATCTACCATTCTGGTTTAGAAAGTGTTGCGTTCAAGATTATCAAGTGTCATGTCTTGTTCTTGTTTTCATATACTACTTATAGATAGACTTTTTTTTTTAATAACTGTGCTTATCCATCCATCTATCCACCCGTCTAGCCATCAAGCCATGCACCCACCCAAACATCCATCCATCCATAATTTATTGACCCATTACAATCATAACAACAATATAAATTTTAAATATGAAAAAAAAATAAAATAAAAAAGATAAAGATTAGATGAATAAGTCTGTATTATTATTTTTACTAAAGAAAGACAATGTTTTTGTTATCTGTAGGTGGACTTTGCTATGGATGTTTTTAAGCAATTGAATTCCGATGTTGATGTGCCATCAAGTAAGTATCTGATTTGCAGTATTGGTAAGCCTTAACAAGTTCAGTTAGGCCAGGCATAGACATTCAGACTAAGTGTGTATGCAATACACACGGTCAGGCTGTGTGAACAGTCAATACATCTGTTTATACTTGGGTTCATATGTGTACGGCTATGTGTGTACGTTCAGGCTGTTTGTGTATCCTCAGGCCAGATGTACACAGTCAGACTAGGTTTAACCGTGAACATTCAATATTATACACACGCTATTTGTTTCAATATAATTTTTTTTTATCACATCTGTAAATTTACCATCAGAGTTGCGAGAGAAAAGGACCGAAGTTGTAACTCAACTCAAGAGCCTTCAAATGCAGATTGACCCCATTGTGAAAATATTCCTTGACCCTGAAGTCAGCAAGCAAGTGCAGTCTACACGTGACGGACAGCAACTCTTTGAATATCTGAAATCTGAACACAATGTGAGGCTTTCCTATGTATAATTAATTGATTTATACAGCAATGATGTATGACTGCTATCATGGTTATAAAACAATTCTGATTAAGATTGTACAAACCCATAACCAGGAGTTCTAAAGGAGGATGGGGTTATCTTGAGAGTCGAGTAGGCAAATGGGCTAGCTAGGACCTACGGTCATCTAGCGTCCAGTGGCAGAGCACTAGTTGCGATTCAAGCATTCTTTACATTCACACATCTTTTAACTAATTTCCTAGGCCATATTCTAACAAAATATTATATAAAACAGTCCTGTCTAATTGGTGTTCAGTTTGATTTAAGAATTTGAATTAAAAAAAACATCAAATAGACTGCTGAATTTATTTCTGTTTTTATACAGTAGTCATTAATAGTTGTACAATTAGCAATTTGAAAGAAAAGGGTTATCTGAACCCTACGACCTCTCTTACTATGTGCTTATTATATAGTGTAGTATACGTAATAATTGAAACATTCAATTGTTTTGTAGTTTACTGCTGAGATGGTTGAGCTCTTGTTCCAATACGCTAAATTCCAATATGAGTGTGGCAATTACTCTGCGGCTGCCGAATACCTATATTTCCATAGAGTGCTGGTGAGTTTTATGTTTTTCTAAACAGAAAGTAACCAAAGTTGATAACAGTATAGAATTTAGTGAAATTAAAAAAAAAATCAGCTAAATTCTAACCGATAAGGACGGTTTAATCAAATCTTTTAATTTTAAACTGTTAAAAAAATTAAAATCTAAACACACTTATAGTGAATAAGATAAAAAATATTTGTAATCATAAGATTCAAACAAACAATACTGTATATACAGTAGTAGGGTATCCAATAGTGTATTGACATTCTTTACAGTTTGTCTTGTTTATTTAATAGCATTACAACATTGTAATAATAATATTAATAGTGTAGTTTTATATAGCGCACATATCCATCTAATGTAAGATGCTCAGGGCACTTGATATGTGGACTAGGAACTCGATCAATGATTTTCTTCGCCCCTAAGGGTCCCTTCGTGTCTGTGCTACCCGGTACCAGCAACTCTCATCGTCCACCACAGGGGCTGTCTGTTCCAGTACACCGGGGTATCCCCCTACTCCTCTCGAAGGATATACTGGGTTCTTTATAGTGCACACGAGCCATTGTATACACTGGGCCTACAGTTTATAGTCCTTATCCGAGAAGACTTGTTCTACCACCAGAACCATAGACGAGCGTGCCGTTCGAACCAGTGCCGATACCATGGCTATAGCTTGTGGCGCCCCTCCTAACCGCTCGGCCATTCGACTCACCACCATTGTTTGTGTTACTTTAATTTTTTTCCCTATTGGAAATAAAAAAGGAGTCAAATAATGTTTTGAATGCTTCTAACATAGGTTTCCCCCAGTGATCCTTGTTTTATGAGCTCCTTGTGGGGCAAGATGGCTTCAGAGATTTTGATGCAGAATTGGGAGGCTGCCCTGGAGGACCTCAAGAGATTACGGAACACCATTGATTCAAATGTGAGTTTATTCCTTTCTTTAACTTTACATACAAATTACAATCCTTCGTTTTTGTTAGTTTGTTGAACTATATCTAGTTTTCAATATAATTAAGGCTAATCATCTTCTGCATCATTTGTTTTTATTGCAGCAAGCATTTGTTTCACCTCTACAACTTCTGCAGCAGAGGACATGGTTGATCCATTGGAGCTTATTTGTATTTTTTAACCATCCTGAAGGCAGAGATGACATCATTGATCTTTTCCTCTACCAACCACAGTAAGCATGTTCATTTATTTATCAACTGATGTATAGTGATTGTAAATTTCTGAACTCCCACAACAACTGGTACTCATTGTATATAATTCAATCAGTAATCAGTCGCTACCAACAACTGCCAATTCATTAGTGTAAGAGGTTTAACTTGTATTAGGTTTCTCAGGTTCACAAGCAGTACCTTAATATTATTGTTTGTCCCTCCCATTTATACCTGGAAGTTTGTTGGCTCTTCTAGCCCCTTCTTCCCACCTATTTCAGCAATTTAAACCTAGTTTTATCCTGCATGGCTCGGATTCCTGCTGTGTAAATCTGTAATTTAAGCCCTATTATTTTATGAACATAACCACAGATCCTAGGCTTCTCACATTCCACATTATTAGCGAGTATATAAAAAGAAAGGTTTAAAATGTAAAAAGTGAAAGGCCAAGACAATTAAAATAATAATAAAAAACACAGATTTCGCACACAATTGAATAATAGATAAAATCTCATAAAAGAACGATAAAAAATTTAAGCGTCGAGAAAAAATTGTTTAACTTGCCTTAAGAAAATCGAGAGAGAACAAAGGACTGCAGAATCTTTTAGTTCAGAAGGAAATGAGGACCAGAGAACAGGGAAACGATAGATAGCAGAGAATTTGAGACAATTAGTGCGAGCGTATGGATGTTTGAAGGTGAGAGAATCAGGGTAATGAGGATTAATTAACTTTAAACCCCCCCTCCAAAAAAAAAAAATAAATTTAAAAAATATATAATAATGATAATAATAATATAAATAAAAAGGTAAATAAATAAGAATGAATAAATAAAATAAATAAGGTATATGGGGTAGCAGTCTGGATTGGGAAAAAATATATAAATAGCCCAATATCAAGTGAATAGATTGCATGGAAATATATAAACTGAAAATAAATCTTAAATCCTATCCATGCTGGCAATGTAATCATCTTAACCTTAAAGCCTTTTCCATTCCAGCTATGTAGGCCGCTGATCCTTTATCCCTCCCACTCCAGTCACGAGTACCACTGATCCTAAACCCCTCCAATTTCAGCCAGGTTTCACCAATTAATTTTTGTGATTACACCGTCATAATCAAATTTCTTGTACAGTAATTCTATCTAAGACTTTCAATTATTTATTGATCTCAGTTACCTAAATGCGATACAGACCATGTGCCCACATATTCTTCGTTACCTTACAACAGCAGTGATTACAAACAAGAAGAGACGGCAGTATCTCAAAGATCTTATTAAAGTCATACAACAAGTAAGTTTGCTGTTATTATTGTAAGTATCATTTAATTCAGTCCTCGACTGTGATTTTGATATTGAATAAAATGAAATGAAAAAAAAAAAGTGGTGCACAAAATGTGGTTATCCACTTTAAGTCATACTTTTCATTAGCAACATTCTATGTTCATTTCTTTATCACATCAAATTTACTGATTGCAGGTTACAATAGCATAAATAGATTTGTAAGTAGAATCAGAAGGAAAACAAACAGAAATTTGGAATGGGAGGCTATATTACCAAGAAGCATAAAAAATGGCTACTTTTATTTTTTTAAATTGAGCTTTTAGTAGGTTACCTGTTAGTAACTAGGAAACTGAAATGTCGATCTATGTGTTAGATACAGATAAATATAGTTAACACAAATCCTTCTAGTAAAGCACCATTTGATGTTAAGTAATGAGTATGTCAATAATAGTAGCAGAGCATATTGTCAGTGTGTATCTTCTTTCAAACCAATCTGTTAACACTCCTTTTGTGTAACTGTTGCAGGAATCCTACACCTACAAAGATCCAATCACAGAATTTGTTGAATGCTTGTACGTCAACTTTGATTTTGATGGTGCACAACAGAAGTTACGAGACTGTGAAATCGTAAGTATTATTTACACCCAAGGGCAGAATACATTATAATATAGAGAGCTGGAGATGTAAATGGGAAATTGCCAGCATTGCCAGCATGGCCTTTTTGTTTGACAGGTGTCACACATTGAAATCTAAAAAATTTTTCATTTGAATTTTGATTATCTTGCTTTCGTTCGATGTCTGAGAAAATTTTTTTGACCTCTTTCTTTAGGTTCTTTCAAATGATTTTTTCCTGGTGGCATGTCTGGACGATTTCATTGAGAATGCCAGATACTTCATCTTTGAAACATTTTGCCGCATACACAACTGCATCAGCATCAGGTTTGTCATATGATTACCCACACTGTGGATGTATTCCTTTGTTCACTTTAATATTTATTGAGATTATCTTTAATTGTTTTTTGTTTTAAACTTAATAAAGAATAAATTATTAGTGCTGTTATTTACTATAATATTTATTGTTATTGTAGATAATATGTTTAGTGTGTTATTTTTATTTTTTGGATATTATTAAGTTTGTATAGTTAACAATATGGTTTTAAAATACATATGGTCTCAATGTGTTAAATGATAAACTAAACAATAATCACATGAAGTAATCAACAAATAAAACTAAAGAACATAGCATGCAAAGTTAGCCACACATCATAATCTTTGTGTACATTTATGTGTGTTTGCAGTATGTTGGCTGAGAAGTTGAACATGAATCCAGAAGAAGCCGAGAGGTGGATCGTGGAGCTGATCAGAAATGATGCTAGATTAGATGCCAAGATTGATTCAAAATTAGTAAGTTGATTGCAGATGCAGTTAGTGATTGTGATGCTCAGTACCATGATTGATGACTTAATTAATATTTAGAATTTACTTCTCTCACTAAATTGAGTTCCAGTAATAACTAAGGGGAAAACAGCATGTCTTATCACAACAAAATGTGTAGTTATTTAGTCTTGAGAAAAAGTATTGATGTTTCCATTTTGTTTATTGTTCATTTTATTTTTAGTTGGCATGCTAGAAACTTTATTTTGTATTCCCATAATCATCAGTATATAAAAACGTTGCTTGTGTTCTTCAGGGGCATGTTGTTATGGGCGTGAAGTCAGTCTCACCTTATGAGCAAGTCCGAGAGAAGACCAAAAATCTAGCCTTCAAAAGCCAGATGTTAGTCATGAATATTGAGAAGAAAGAACAGGCTTTACGAGCAAAACTGAGTGGGGTAAGAGTCTAATCGCTTCCATAATATTTTTTTTTCGTATTATTTAAAATTAATAATTTGACAGAAAAAGAAAAAGTTTTGAAACTGGTTAATAATGTTTGGACCTACCTGGACTGTGATGGGATTATTGTTTTTATTTCAGACTATAATAAATTTTTGGCTCACATATTTTACTTCCCTTATTTCCTCCGCCAATGAGGTTATGTATTCACCCCTGTCTGTTTTTCTGTTAGCAAGATTATGGGAAAAAAAACTAAGGAATGGATCACCATAACATTCAGTGGAATGATACATAATAATATAAGAAAGAGATTAATAAATTATGGGAAAAGATCAAAGGTCAAGGTCACAGAAATTCCTTTTTTTTCCCTTTGAGCATAAAAGAAAGTAATGCAATTGGGAATTGGTATTCAGCAGAGGGCAAAGGTATGCACACTGTGGAGCGACTGCTCTAGTTTTGTAAATTGTTCTTGTACTTGGACATGACATAAATTTGTGTTTATTTTAACAGGCACCACAATGGGGAGCTCAGGATGTCTACTGAGGACTCATACAAATGGCTGTCATAATACATACAAGTAAATCACATTGGAGTGTTAACATCTCAAGTGTTGTACCAGTACTGTACATCCAGATGATACATCCGGATTATATTGGCCAACAACAGTGAAAATACTTTTAAAAGCACTGTACATTATTATCATAAAATCTCATTCTGGTCTGTGAAGACGATGATTGCAAACTAGGTTACGGTTACCAATACAACTTTAAATAATACTGTATATAAATAAATAAATAAATGGAAGAAAGTCAGTGCATCCTCTAATCTGAGATAATTTTTTCAAAGAACCAAATAACAATCTTGAATCTCTTAACACAAAGCTAACCCTCTATTTGGGGAACAAACCCTGAGACCACCCAAACTTTTCGTCTCAAAGGTGGTCTCAAATAGGAGGGAGAACTGTATCTAACAGTTCACTGAATTTAATGAATTAAAGAATTACTGAATTGACCTTATGAAACTTTAACCTCTGATTATCCTAATTTAAATAGTGGTAAATGATGGTACAGTAGTAACACAGTGTTAATATGGGTCATATTGGAGATCAGCACACATTTCATCTAATACCAGTTATTCTAATAATTTTTTTCATAGCCAATAAAAATTGATGTGAATTTGTAGTCAACATTTGTTGTCAGGATCTTATTTGCTTGTTATGTGTGTACACATCAAATCACGACAATAGTAGCACTAAGGCTAGTAGTTTTATACCTATAACAAGTAAGTTCCTTGCAAATTTCCCCACATGAAGTTTAGAATGTCAAAAAATAGACATTCATGGGTCTTGCTCCACTTCACTTTATTCATTCACTTGCAGTGGTGGATATTAAGTCTGAGTGTGCTTTTCTGGCCCTCCATCTGTGAGAGTCCCTCCCTGGGCCACCTACTTTGAATTCACTATAAAATCCTAATAACAAGAGTGCTGGGAACAGAGGAGGAATAAGCTTGCAAGGGGGCCCATGGAATTAATCTGAAACTAGAGCCAACTATGCTTATTAAAAATTAATCACAAATAAAATCATGTTGGAAAAAAATTTCACGTTTTCTTTGATCTTTAGAAATGTTGTACATTTATATTTTTTGTAAATTTTCATGCTCAAAGGAAATAAATATTTTTGTCATTGTCATTGTCAAAACAAGCCAACAAACAAGAGTCAAATGGAATGGAGGGGCCATTCATCTGCAAATTCCAAGCATCAGGCCTCATTTTGAAGCAATCCCAAAGTGGCTTCCCAAAAAAAAAAAATAGCATATTAATGTAAACTAGAGGTATTTACTTGAGGAAAAAATGAAAGCTTATGATCATTTATTGAAGGGAGGCATTTATTTGAAAAAATGTGGTATATGGGCTTTAATTGAATAAGGCTCTGAAGGGAATAAACTTGGTACAGTGTACAGTTTTAGGGGCACTCTGTATCTTTGAGATAAAGGCGGGATACCAAATAGGCCCGTGACCATTACACCAAGCTCTACACACTGCACCCACTCCTGACATTCAGAAACCAAAATTATAATTTTTTAATTAACAGGCGCATCGTGCAGATGTGCGACAAGACCCATTTGTCCTTCCCATGGCAAAACAATGCAACTTCTATTATATTTTTGTTATGTTGTTTTTGCCTTGGAACAGCCGCATAGAGACCCCCAAATGGCCCGCGATGGACCCATTAGGGCACAAAGGAGACCAGAGTCCCTTAATACCAGTGCAGTGGGAGTACATACAAGTTCTATAAAATCACCTAGCCCACTGTAATTTAGATCAATTCAATTCAAGTTTATTTTCCACACAATATTTACTGCATATTACATAACAATCTTTTTTAAAAATGATGATGACATTGACAAGAAAACTAAACAAATAACGTAGGGGTTACAAATAACTTTATTTCAATCTTAACTTGACCTCTCACAGAAACACTGCTGGCATCTAGAGTCCGCAATGTACACTTAAATATAGAACACAGTAGAAATTATGTGTACAGTATTTGAATACTGTAATCTGACACTCAAAGAAGGAAACAATTTCCAATAACAGAAAGTAATGTTTTTGATTACTCATATTGCATTTCCATCACAAATATTATGGCATCACAATCTAGAGCCTGAAAGAGTTGGCAAAGACTGAACTGCATTGTCAATATATATATATTTCTGTAAATTAGTAAAAACAGCTCCTTGAGTCCTGTAATGGCTGCCAACAGTCCCATTCAAATCAAAATTAGAGCCATTTATTTACAATTTCAAACTAATTCAGATGTATTGCAACATTCTATGCTGGATACCTTTCGACAAGCATGCCATGTCCCTGCAAAGAAAAAGACATTTCAGTGAGTTAAGGATTGGCAATCTGGTTAAGCAGAAAAAAAAACAATCATGTCTGGAAAAAAGTAGATTGTAGCTTGATGGTATAATCGAAACAATCTTCGACCATATATTGCAAAATGATGACACAATGTTACTAAACCATTGAACACAACATTTTCATAAATTCCAATTATAATTCAAAAGCTAAAAAGGGCATTTTGTACCATGCATTTTTATCATACAAGGCTTGGAAAATTGACATTTTAATATAATACTCTTATCCTCCTCCGACGGGAGAGAATGCCCGGCGCCACCACTGGCACTACTGCTGATAGCATTTAAGGAAAAGTGTATAGATTATGGAGGCATATGGTGGGTAGGTAAATAGATATATATTGTGTCCTAAAATCTAGTATTGGCTCTCACCAGTCCTCCGGCTGCGCAAGCTGCGATGAGGGCAAATTGTCCGTCCTCTTTCTTTAGTCTGTTGGCAGCAGTGGTAGCTAGCCTTACACCTGTTGCTCCGAATGGATGACCCAATGATAATGACCCTCCCCACAAGTTGAACTTGTCCATTGGTGGTGCACCAACCTAAACAAATAAAAAAAAAAATGCAAACCAATATCAATCAATTAACAATTGATGTATGAATAGACCATGCAAAATGTAATGAAGTATATTTTGATCAATATACCAATATATCAGGTAAGCTAATTTGTACTTTGAACTGCACATGCTCATATCAAGGTCAAGCGACATAAACAAACACACACAGTGCACACAAATTAAGGTTTACGTTGACTGACCTTGCATACGGGCTTATACAGTACTCAATATGTCTTATCAATAACTTCACAAATACATAATAAATATTGAAAACCACCAGAAATTATTTTATTGATAAAACTGTTTTTGTGCTATCAAAGATTATGTTTGGTACTTTTTGTTCAATATTTGTTACATAAATTTGTTTTAAAAATATAAATTTAAAACACTAGTTTCACATGCTGCTTTAATTTGTTAAAATGATTATTTACCTTCTCTTTCCTTCCCATTTGTGTTTGAGCAAAGTAATCTGAATCCATAGCTGCCAGATTGGCAAGGATCTGTCCAGCAAATGCTTCATGATACTCAAAGACATCGATGTCAGACATTTTGAGACCAGCACTCTCAAGAACCTTTGGGGTTGCATATGCAGGACTGTAAATGAGAAAAAGGGCATGGACAAACAATGTTTAAGCCTACAGTATAGTTTATATAAATAAAACAAGCTAATATTATAAAATTGTGACGTCTTCCAATATTCATTAATAAAGAAGACTCTAATTAAGGACAAAAAATTGTGGTGAAGCCAATAGAAAATTTAGGCCCTTATTGCACAGAAAATATCCAATGACAGTGGTAAAGTAGTAATATATTTACACTTTTTAAGAACTATTTATTTAATAATTTATAATTAATATTAATAAGGAATTATAATGAGTGCATATCCAGGAGAATCACTTTATATTTGCATACCTATCTGAAAACATTGGAAGGTTGTAATCTGTTTTCTTACACTATTACTTATTAGAAATAAATTTAAATTGAATCTAAGGTAAATGATCATTATATTATGTGAATTATTGGTGCTCTTACCCCAAGAGAAGCTGATCCTTTGGGTCTTGTGACACATAGGCAAAGTTCCTTAGATAAGCTTTAGGTTTGTAGCCCATGGCCAAGGCTTTCTCTTCAGACATAATCAAGCACGCTGAGCCACCATCACTCTATCAACAGAAAATTAACCATATGTGGTTCACACAAGAATTATAACAAACTGAAGAAACATGAATGCTAACCTGGTCTAAATAATGCAAATAAAATTATTTCATGCAAATAATTCATCTGTTATACTTAATCTAAATTTCAAATGGAGCATGAAATTTTGGATTATGTAACAGTGCATGTGCTTTGATTAAGATAGAATAGCATACCAAGAAAGAGAAGTGGGCAGCAGTAACAGTGCCATGTGGTTTGATAAAGGCAGGTTAACATACCAAGAAAGAGAAGTGGGCAGCTGTAACAGTGCCATGTGGTTTGATAAAGGTAGGTTAACAGAACAAAAAGAGGAGTTTGCAGCAGTAACAGTGCCATGTGGTTTGATAAATGTAGGTTAATAAGAAAGAGGAGTTGGCAGCAGTAACAGTACCATGTGGTTTGATAAAGGTAGGTTAACATACCAAGAAAGAGGCGTTAGCAGCAGTAACAGTACCATGTGGTTTGATAAAGGTAGGTTAACATACCAAGAAAGAGACGTTAGCAGCAGTAACAGTGCCATGTGGTTTGATAAAGGTAGGTTAACATACCAAGAAAGAGGCGTTAGCAGCAGTAACAGTGCCATGTGGTTTGATAAAGGCAGGTTAACATACCAAGAAAGAGGCGTTAGCAGCAGTAACAGTGCCATGTGGTTTGATAAAGGCAGGTTAACATACCAAGAAAGAGGCATTAGCAGCAGTAACAGTGCCATGTGGTTTGATGAAAGCTGCTCGTAGCTTGCTCATCTGTTCCATGGTGGAGGGTCGAATTCCGTTATCACGCTGGACAACAGTTCCCTTTCCCGGCACAGTGTAGTTCAGGCGGTCTTCCAACAGGCCTGCTTTAGTAGCTTTATCTGCCAAACTGTGTGAACGTAGACCAAACTCATCTTGGGCCTTCCTTCCAATACTAAATGCTGCACAGAGTCTATCAGCTGAATGACCCATAACCTCATTTGTAGAGAACTCTGCTACAGCAGGTAACTGAAAAGTGATTATGAAATATTAGTTTACTTTCTTAACTATTATGCAATGCTAACTAATAGCAAGCTTATCTTAAAAGAAACAGCAAACTACTGTAGTAAAAAAAAAACCCAAAACATGCCTTACCTCGGGAGCAAATGCTGCCATACTGAGCTGTCTTGAAGCAAGAGCAAGCTTTGCTGAAACAGTCTTGGCCTACAAAAATCCAAATTAATTTATTACATTTATAATCTGTAAAATACACATTTTGGAATGGATGTTAAGTTTAAATGAAACTACGAAAATCCTGGCATAAGGAATGGAATACTTTTATTCGTGAACTTAAACTATATTTATACTTGAACCTTAAAACTTCACCCTGAAAAACATCCCTACTAGATTTATTACCTTTTGCAGGAAAATAATGTTATCATCTACCTTTTGTTGTGAGATCATGAATTTCCTCATCTGTCGGCTGTGTCTAATTGGTGCATCAGACATGAAGTCTACACCTCCTGCAATACCTGATTCAATCTGACCCATTGCAATCATACCCATCACTACAAACAAAAATACACAAGCAATACAAAAATGTTTATTATATTTATGTACATATACAAAACATGTGACATGGTAAATACTTCAAAATATATTTCTTGAAGGTTTGCATGGTGAGTATCAATAACAAAATCATATTACTTTTGATACACCATATGTATCGAAAGTTTTTATGATTTTGTTACTCCAGATATTTTGTATTATAATGCATACATACCTGATGTTATGGCTTGGTTGGAAGATATGCATGCCATTGTTACAGTGTGTGCTGGAATCTTGTCTGAGAAACCTGCCCCCAATGCAGCCTAACAAAACAAAGCACTCAATATACAATTATTCAATCATAGACAGAGAAAACTTATATTCTTCTCATTTATGGTAAATTTCAAAATTTTTGAATTCTTTTTTTAATTCATTCTAGACATTGTTATTACTGCTTACCTCTCTGGCAACATTGCTTGTCTTAACTTCCTGAATTACGGTTCCAAAGCATATATAATCAACAGCATCTAGAAGGATATTATAAAATTTAAATTTAATGACATACAGACATAATGTAAGAGGTGTCCTTATACATGTGGGGAAGGAAGTTAATGTGCAAGCTACTCCACCCCTTGAGTGCTTTGAAACTTTGGTATAAAGCGCTAAGTTTAACTATATTACTACATTAACGCACTTACAAGTAACATCAAGTGGGCAAAGCCAAGAATTTGAGGACCACATTGTCCGTCACATGACAAAGTGATCTGCTGTCACGTGATCTACAGTATTTCTGAAAATAATGTACTCCATGTATTACCAAGAGTAACTTACCTTTTGGAATTTTTGTATGTGCCACAAGCCCCCTTAAAAAACAACATGAGACATGATTATAAAAAGTAATCTATAAATTACATCTCTTTAATTTAATTAATTAATAATTGATTTAAAATTAAAAAAGGCATTAGCTAAACCTTTCAGAATTACAGATACTGCAAGAATGCAGGGGACTGGCATCTTGCTAAATATGCTTAACCACTAGGTCACTGGTGTTTTTTGGGTAATTTGAATGTGTAAAAGACATCTAACTTTAATGCAAATCAATTACATTTATATAAAATTGATATATTTATGGCAATGATGACTATAATTAATCATTTCAAAATCAAACTTACTCTAAAGCTCCCCTTGCAAGATCATGAGGCATCAAGTCAGCGTAACTTTAAAAATAAAAACAAAAAAAATTACTGAACATATGGTGACAAGAAATGAATTGGTTTCAAAAAAGGTTTGATATTAAGGATTGCTCACATCATCAGAATGGCTCTGGTATACATACGATTAATAACATGAGACACAATTAATTCATTATTGTTTCTATTATTAATCAGAGAGATGACTTACTCAGTGCCTGACATGAGGAAAGGTGTTCTGACACCCTCAACCAACACAATGTTTTTTACATTTGGTTTTGATAGATTCTTCTTAGCTGCCGCATTATGATGTAATGATGTACTCAAACACCTAAGACCACCTGTAAAAATACATGATACAGTACCATACATTTAATTATGTTTAGATTTTGATACTGTTTGTGGGTTAAATCTGAAAAAACCTCAAAAATTTAACTGAAAAAGAATAAAAAAAGTCATAACATTTAATGAGACTTACAATGAAAAAAACCCTCCATTGAGTTTTCAATGTTTATAGACGTTTACTATAAACTTTTTTAATTGATTAAAAGCCCAGAGTTTATTAAAAAAATATGAATACTTCATGAATAGTATTACTGTATTTATGAACTACCGTATGTCTTAACATGATGACGATTCTGAGCACCTAGTTTCCTGGCGAATTTTTGCATAAATTTGAGCTAGTTTTTGATGTATCATCCGTGTGAAAAAAAATACTGTACAGTATGGGCCTCATCAAACACTATTGATTGTTGACTGGTTAAGAGTTAATGTTAAATAGCACATATTTATGACAATGTGTGCAAAAAATAATAGTGATGAAAAACCTGTGCAAATACCACCAATAATGTAGGCCTACATCCTTATTTTTATTTAACTGTTTAAACTTTAGTTAGCTTACTGTAGAAATAATGCCAGTGGGACTAAAATTATTTCACGACTACTATAAATACTAGAGGACCTAGACAATACTGTAAAGGTTTTTATTTGAGCGGAGGATACCTAAAAAATCAGCACTAATTTGCGCAGAAAATCGCTAGGAAAATAGGTGTGCAGAATCGCAACTGCTGCAAAACCCATCTTTTGCGGTAGGTTACTTTGGGATAGTGATATCATCTGTATGCAGTATTAAATCAATACATTTGATAGCGAATAGCAAAGCTGTACTGTAAATTTCTGTAAATCATGGTCAGACTTTGTATTTACTTGAGAATATCATTTATAAAAAAATCTAATTCAAAAGTTAGCGTGTACAATATAGCTGACTTTTTTTATGTAATATTTTATCGCTGTAAACTTTTAAAAAGTTTATTTTAAGCTTGAAATAGTACCTAGTGCCACGGCCAGCCAAGGCCTGCAGGGGGTGGGGTTTGTATTAATTATTTATTAATTCTGCTAATACTTCCCAATGCTAATACTTCCCAACTACAATATATTTTATGTTATGGTTATGACTAGCATTAAAATAAAGACAAAATGCGGCATCTAAACAATAGTCCTGGATGTGTAAAAAAATATTTACAAAAAAACGTGATTAAACATTTAAAATTAAGCGCATGGCAATATTCGTTTTGCCTACAAACTATCGGGTCAATTTCATGATGATGATTCAGAAAACTATAAGCTGCAGCCTGCGCCTGGCTGCAGTTCTCTTGGCACTGATTTTGCACCTTTGCCATTCAGGTCTAGGCCCTATGCCTATTGCCGTTTTGTTACTTGTCATTTTGCCATTTCGGTCTCCTGCCATTTTGGTACTAATCACTGCCATTTTGGTTTATATACCGTTTTGGTCATTGATTGCCGCTTTCTTTGGTTTCTTGCCGTTTTCACCTGCTATCCTTCCCTATAGGCCTAGCCTAAACTTCTTAAAATATTATCTAGTTAGGCCTAGGTGCATGCTAGCCTATAAAAGTTACATATCACTAAGGCTGGTAAACTTCACTTTTACTCTTAGGCCTAGCCCAGACCTGCCTACCTCAAATAGGGCCTGCGAGCAGAACGCAGCACAGACAGGGTAGGCTAAGGGCCAAGGCCAGGCCTATGCAGGCTAGGCCTAGCTATATTAGTATTACTAGGCCTTTGACCCAAATCGCATCGGAAATATAGATGAAAACTTACTTATTCCAGAACAATTACCAATAGATGGTAAAAGTCCTGAGATTTTTGTAACTGTTGAGATAAAGGCCATTATGGATTATGATTAAAATGAGTCAGAGTCACCCTGTTCTCTAAGAACGTAGCCAACAAAATGTTACCCCCGGCGAAAATACGTTTTGATGTGAGAGTAGAGCATGCAAGAGGTCAAATTTGACCAATCACGTGCGTGTACAATTTAGGCTACTTCAGAATTTTTCAAATTATATTATTGAAAATTAAGTCAGTTGAGTTCAAATCAATGTTAAGTAGGTACATATAGGCATATGGTTAGACAGGAGTATTGTTGTAATTTCATAAGTTATATCTAGTATTTGAATTGATGTCGCCGAATCTCTTTCTATCTGTGTCAAGGTAATAACTAGGTCTGAGGTCATCAACTCATCATCCATCTCGTCGGAAACATGGCTGCTCTTCGTGCATTTGGATCTCTGAAACGAGTATCTTGTAGCAAATTATCGCTATCTACAGGTATGATTTGGTAAAATTATATCTGATGTGCATGATTTGATAAATCATAATAGTGAATACATTAGAAATATATTTGTTAAGATTGAATATGTCTTATTAAAATTGCACCGGCACACCGTCCATTGCTTTGGCATTGCTAGGCTAGGCCTAGCCTACTGACTGGTACGGTAGCCCTTGGTTTGGTTGGTTGCGGGTTCAGAGACCTTCGGTAGGCTGCGTCGATTGTCTTCAAGCAGCTAAGCTTTGGACTTCTAGGTCAGTCGTCTGATCCATTCACAATCAACCACAATCACAAAACAAATTATACAAATCATTATTACAAATAAGTGTATAAAAGAAAATTTAAATTTTGTAGGATCTGGGCTGGGAGAGTCTCGTTAATTAAGAAAGACCAGAGGTTGCAACGTTGAAAGCCACCCAGTAAATTAAGTAATTTATTATGAAAATTTGTAAAGAAAATAATAGTATTGTAAGTACAATATCTTATTTTCATTTTTTTTTTTGTACTGAAAAAAAGTAAATGTAAAAGTTTTCTCTTGGATAGATTATAAAAACCAATTGTCAACAACAAGTCTTATTTTGTTATAATATTTATTTCAACATTCTTATTTTATATGGCACACTACAATGTCATGAACAGATCACCTTACAAAACTTATATTGGAGTGATGTTTTTCCCTACCTGACGTGTTATCGTACCAAATACTCAGTACTCCCCCAAATACTAGCGAAAAAAAATTGATTTGGGTGGGAATCGAACCCACAACCTCCGGGTATCTAGCCTGATGTCTTACCACTAGACCACCGAGCTTGTGATTGGTGACTAGCGATGAATCCGATCCCCTAGTAGCAGGGGGTACTTACAAAACTTGCATTTCGGCGGGTACTTACAAAACTTGCATTTCAAAAGAAAAAGAAAAACAAGTCAAGGCAAATACAACAGCTCTATTCAGAAAAAAGGAATGTTTCCTATTTTTATTTTTTTTAATGAATAATCTACTTCATTAAAAAAAAATTGTTTTAATATATTATTATTGTGACATTATTTATTAAAGCTGCAAGCATCTAACTTGGGATAAAAATTTATGATAAAAAATGTTAAAATTGATTATTTTAATGAATATCTTTAGAAATGCCCATTTATCACATTTACTGTATGGAAATACAAGATTGAGTTTCCTATATTAAATAGATCTATTCACAGGTGCTGAAGTGAATTTCAACATGCAGATTTGTTTTCATTTGGAAAAATGTGTCTAACGATGTGCATTCTGATTCCATTAACTAATAAATCCTTCTGTATGAAATTGATACCCAAACACATTAACCTAATTTCAGTCCAAAGAAGCCCCAAAATGTTTATGATTAATAATGAAATGGATTACTATTGACATTGTTGTTACAGAAATAAATAAATGATATAAGTGAATGAAGCCTTCCCCTTAATATTCTGTCACCTGAACCAATGTCATTGTCATATTTCTAAGTACTGTATATACCAGAGCCTGGCAGAACGAAACCTCTCTCCTTGTTCCTGTTGTGAGCAGGCAAATTATTTCTAAAATTGCAGCCATTCTCATAAAAGATATAAATTTGAATATAATGATGTTTAGAATTGAAATTTAAAAGTTTAAACATTAAAGGAATTGTTTGTTGTATGGTTCTCTTTCATCCTTAATACAAACATTTTAATAATTGAGACGCGGAAGCAATGGGAACAGGTTGGTTCCCCAACCTCAAGGTTGGGGTTTCAATCCTTTGCTGTGCACTTCGCTCTCTGGGCAAAATTTTTTTTATACCTTGTTTCGCAAACTTACTGATAAAGATCATCAGTTTTTCCAAAATCATGTTTAAAGCCGGAGTGCATGTAACTCATGTAACAGAAAAAGAAATATTCTGCCAGATCCTGTTTAAGAAAGCACCTGGCTGCATGCTATTAAAGTGCGTGGTTAGGTTCAGTGCCTGCATCATCTACACAGAAACAATTTTTTATATATCCATCAATTTTCCTTATATGTTTGCTTCTATATGTGATGTTGGTTTTTCAACGTCTGGGCAGATTGCTATGGTGTCTATAAATAGTCTTGGTATATGAGCTATTTATCAAAGTGGAAACTACTGTACCTAAATACTTGGTGTTATTTATTTTTTGTAATTTATTTACTGGATATTCACAAGGCTCTTTTTTAACTTGTCATTTGATCTTGTTTCTATACTGTAGCATTTCCTTGCAGGCCTTGAATTTTTGTGACCTGAAATCTCACTAGGTTGAATGACAGGGGGTTGGTACTCATTGCTATATGTATCAGTTTTTTTTTTACTATGACGCTATAATTACATTAACTTGACTTCTTCAATTATTTTGTGTTTATATGTAGACTGTTTTCTTGTATTAAGAAGTATAAAGCCACGTCCAAATTATATGACCCACATACAGTAGTGTATTTAAAATTCACAATAGTACAGTAAACAAGAAAGCAAAGTCTCGAGTCTTTGCTTTAAAAATAGCTATAGAAACTTCAGTTTCGTCAGTAATTTAAAAATTCTTTTTTCTGAAATATCCATTTTTTTCATGGCAGTGGGTGTGCTAGTGCTAAAAGTTTATTTTTATTCGAAACAAGGTATGAAAAAAGTGTTGCCTTGCCTGCATTGCTTCTCTCTTCCAAGGAGTATAAATGGATACCTGGTAGGATGCCTACTACTACTGCACCTATATGGCTGCAACATTGAAACATGTGGACCCAACGACCAGGGAAAACAAAGCACTTTGTAACCTAAAGGAAAAGGTGCTATATAAAATACCAAATATCACATAATGATGATTAATGTAGTGAATTCATCTTCTTTTTTTAGATGTATCTATGAGGTATTTCTCACTTTCCACAGCAGCAAATGGTAAGTAAAACGAAGCTATTGTTTTTAATTTAAAGATTGCATCTCTTAAAAATCTCTTAAATTGCAAACTGCATATTTTAATTATAAAAAAATAAATGCAAAGGTGGCAGTATACAGGTACTGCTGATTATCAAGCCATGTTTATTTAGAACATATTTAAAGAGAAAATTAGTTTACTTGAATATTGCTGTACCCCCACTGGCCTAGCCTTACTTATTTCTAACCCATCCCTCCTACTACAGTACAAGTATGTTCTCTTGCTCACATCTACTGATTGTTCAGTGCACTACTGTATTTATACAGTTTTTATGAATTGAAGGATAAATTTCATGTTTTTTCCAACAAGCACGGACACTAATAAACTATGATGTCAAAGATGGTGTGGCAGTTGTGCGTATGAATAAACCAAATTCTAAGGTAAAAAAACAATTTAATTATATTGTCATTTATTGAAATTGTTATTTTTCCAGACATTTGATTTTCTTCAAATTTAACAATAAATATGAATAGAAATAAATGCCTTGATGTACAGGTATTTGAATGAAATATTTATCATACTAACACAATTTTATCAAAATCTAATTATTCAAATTATTTTGTATGCATTTCATTTTTTTTCAAATTTAACAATACATTAAATATGAATAGAATAAATGAATTGAATGCCTTGATTTACCGATATTTTTCTTTTAATTGACAGATAAAGTTTTTATCATTCTCTAATTTTTAATTTGTAAATAACAGTTTAGCCTGCTTAAACAACTAAATAATTTACATATTGAGTGTTTTAGGATTTTACAGAAGGTCTGTGTTTATTTCCAGTTCAGGACACTTTAATAATCTTTTGTCCTGTGTTTACCGATGATTCATAGTTGATCATTGCCTGTGACCACATTTCAGGTTAATACACTGACAAGGGAATTCAATGCCGAGATTGAAGCGGTTATGAATGAGCTATGGGCAAATGATAATGTTGGTAGTGTTGTACTTATCTCTTCCAAGCCAGAATGTTTCATAGCTGGGGCTGACATCAAGTAAGTTATGGCTACCTCAGAGTCATAATGACAATGATGTTATTGAGATGATGCAGATTATGATTATTATTTTTGTAAAACCATTTTATAATTTCAATAATTTGTATTCATTTAAGAGTGAGCACAAATATAGATTAGTACAAATTATGATTTGAATAAATAACATCATATTTTATAATATTTGAATAATATTTCTTTGGGCAGTATTTCAGAAAATACTCTAGGTCATGACACTGAAAAAACTGACAATTTTATTGATAAAGATTGATTTAATGAAGAAATTCTACTGAAGGAGTTTACCAATGTATGAAATTACTTAATAATATTTTCCAAATATTTGATAATTGCCATCTACTTGATAAAAGTTATAATAAAAAGATATACTGTACTGAATTAAACTTGTGAATGAATTGATAAACTTTGAATAAATAATGGTAATAAATGAAGTTTTTAGTTGATCTGTACACTTTAGAATGTTAAAAAAATCAAGGAAAGATGAATCTTGTTAATTGATTGGTAAACTTCCTAAGTGTATTGAAACTTCCCAGTGTAGATACAAATCAGTTAATAAAACTGTGTGATTGGTATCTATGCCTAATCCCATGACAAGAAATGCTAATGCATTGTGTGGGTATTTACAATCATAACAAATATTCTATAAATGACTATCTAAGATACCAGTATCTATAATTCCATATATCCGAATGTAAACAACAGGGTTAGGAGACTATATGATGACTGCATGTAGCTGGCGTACCAGGATATGTGTGAAGGTTTTTTTTACTAAAAAGTGTAGGTAGTGTACCTAAAGCTACAGATACAGTGCTGAAGGCAAAAATTATGGTTAATTAGTAATCAGATTGTTTGATATAGTGAATGATTTAAGCATGAATTTATTATATCACGATCCTATGATACACTGTCCTTTTGAAAACATGAGACTATAACGATAATAATACGGTAATAATATAATAATAATAATCATAATAATATAAGAATTTATATAGCGTCAAACGACCGAGGTGCATTATCAAAGGCGCTTAATCAATGATCAAATTGTTAATATATTGGCTTTTAAATTTTTTTTAATTGAAATTAATTGTCATGGAAATGCCCACTCGACAGTGATTTAGTTGTGGTAGTTCTTTTCTCAAGTTTTATATTGTACATTTTTAAAAATAGTAATAAATATTATCAGCCAATAACTGAAATGAAAAGCTAAAACTTGACTACCAACTGATACATACAGTAGCTTGCATACTTGGTATTGTTAAAGTTGGATGCTTTCTTAGGCCAAAAGTGTGCATTTTCATTTGAATGTACCAACTTGTGCTTAAATTATGATTGTCAACATACAACAATCCAAAGTCTTTCATGCAAAGCACGCCCTCTATAACTTTGGGACATCCATACTTGTGTGGAAGCGGTTTCTTTGGCACAGCGGGAACGGTTTGCTTTCCCAACCACGAGGTCGGTGTTTCAATCCCTCGCTGTGCATTATCTATGCTTCTTCACCCAAGAGTATAAATGGGCACGTGGTAGGGTTGCCTGCTCCTGTGCCAAGATGGCAGCAAAACTTAAGCATGCAGACCGAATGACCAGGGAGAAACTTACAGCACTTTGTATCTGTAAAGAAAGGTGCTACATAAATGACCGTATAATTGAATGTAGAAATTTTGCCATTTTCTTTTATATAGCATGATAGAAAGTTGCAAGTCTGCAGAGGAGGTAAATAATGTTATTTTATTTGTGGTTTTGTTAAGCTGATTTATTATAGGTTTAGGCCCAAAGCTACTGTAACTGCTGTGCCTCTTTATTTTGGTGGGAAGAAGGTAACATGCCATGTTGGAATTTAGTTTAGTGCTACTAATCAAAGCTGTGTTTGCTTTGCAGTTTGGATTTGTTATAAAAGAAAAAACAGAATACTGTATAAAAAAACATCCCCAGAAAATATTTGCACATTTGAGTATGTTATTGCTATGCAAAGAAAATAAAAAGTATGTAGAGACACTGATATTTTATTGAAATTTTAAGTGCGTGTTTATTGATTTGCAGTTTCTTGGTTTAAATAAGAATAAAGTAAATAAAATATACAAAGTCTACTTGATGCTAGATTTTGCTTTTCTTTTCTTGTGTAAAACATTTTATTCAAGACTACTAATACATGAACGTGGCATTCCCATTTATACTACTTCATGTACATTGCAGGTTACAGAATTATCCAGGGCTGGCCAGAATCTACTACAGCTGGTGGAGGACAGTAAGAAGCCTGTGGTGGCAGCCATCAGTGGTACCTGCTTGGGAGGGGGCTTAGAGGTAAGTTGCAATGAGAGTTGCTTGATGGAGCATAAAAGCCAGTTAGAATTAAAGTACCAGCATATAGAAAGGGCCTAAAAGTACATTAGCTGCAGTATTTTTTGTATTTTATGGACCAAGAAGTCTGCTGACATGGTAGACCCCTTTTCTATGTTTACATTGGCCTATCTGAAATACTGGCAGTGCCCTACACTAGAGGCAAAAAATCCTTGAGGTATAGGAGAAATGCATGGAAAATCAGGATACCTGTTATCTTGTTTTTTGTTATCACCAAAATATGAAAGCTACATGAATGAAATTCACATATGTCATAGTTACATATATTAGGAATCGACGAAAAAAATTAAAGTGTACGAAATTTTTTTTTTTTCTATTTTTATTCAATTTTTAAAGTCATTTTCATCTTATCACTTTGGATATTGCCTTGTGTGAGCGCCCAGATCAAGAATATGAAAGTGTGTGGCACAAAAAAGAAAAAGATAATGAATTTCCTGATTTACCATGCATTTCTCCTATACCTCAAGGATGTTTTTTCCTCTAGGGTAAGGCACTGCCAGTGTTTCAGATAGGCCAATGTAAACATTGAAAGGGGTCTATAGGTTTGTGGAATGGGTTTAAAGATGTGATAAAATGAATGTAACTTTTGTAATGAATTCTATATGTATATTGCTGTATTGACCAATTCACTATGTCTAATGCGATTGAAAGAACATTTTTAATACAGTGGCCTATTTTATGTTGTCTTTACTGGGCACATTATTATATATGTCAAACTATACTAATCATGTTAATCATCTGGTTCATGTACTCACCTTAGGTTGCTATAAGTTGCCAATACAGAATTGCTATTAAGGATCCAAAGACAGTACTTTCAGCTCCTGAGGTGATGCTGGGTTTGCTTCCTGGTGCAGGTGGCACTCAGAGGATCACACAAAAGGTATGTAGTCTTATATGACTGTCACTATCATCATTTATACACATCCATATCTACTACATAGCTACCATTATACATCCACAAACATACAAATTCACATCAGCATCAATGATGCACATCCACAAAATCCATATACTGTACCCATGAACATCTACAAGCATACCATAAAACCTTGAATAGTAGCCCAATGTGCTTAATTTCAAGAAGAAGCCCATCTCAAATTGAGGCCCCTTCTTTAGTTTGCAAAATTAGCCTTGAAAAGAAGCCCATCTCGAAAAGAAGCCAATGGACTTCTTTTCAAGATAGCATAGGCTTTTTTCGAGATAGTACATTTCAGACATTGTACATGAATTTCAAAGCAGCAAAATAAATGGAAAACATGCTTGGTTTATACAGTAGTTTATGTGATTTAATGCTGGTTAATACACTCCATGATACAATTTGATTGATTGATTGATTGATTGTTACAGTGGCCCTATTTATTGTTTTATACAGTAGTAGTACTGTAATTCCTAAAATTTACAGCATTCATTTTGAAAAGAAGCCCCCTCTTTACTTTGCAAAAGTAACCTTGAAAAGAAGCCCATCCAAAGTTAGCATTAAACCAAGAAGCCCAGGGCTTCAATTCAAGTTTTTTTTTATATCTATACACGTCTACAACCAAACAAATTCACATCAACATCATACCAATACACATCCACAAACATACCCACACACATCCATACTTTTTCAAATTCATGTATCCATAAATATCTACAAGCATAACTATGTATATCCACAAAAATACCCACACACACACACATATCCACACACCGATATTGCAAATTGATCTTTTAGGTAACATTTTTCTGTTAATTTGTTCTTGTGTGTGTGGTTAGGTTGGTCTTACCAGCGGTTTGGACATGATGCTAACCGGAAAGAACATCCCAGCGGAAAAAGCCAAGAAACTAGGATTAGTCGACCAGCTTGTTTCACCTATTGGTAATGTCTTTCTTTTATTTGCCTGTACAGTGTAATATCGATATTTTTAATTGTAATATTTCTACCTTTTAATGTAATCTTTAATAGGCCTATTTAATATTTAATATGTAAAAATTAATTTTTATGCAATTTTATGTATTTTTAATATTTGGACTTATATTGCATTTTTATGGCAACCCTGTTTTTGGTGTTCGACACACTGTTAGGTCATGAATAAATAAATAATTAAATTTAGAACATTACAAATATTAGTGTTTATTAGTATTAAGCTTTCTATATCTGAACTGCTCTGGCAGAAGCAGGTGCTTGTATAAAATTTAATTTTACTTGTGCAAGTTTCTAAGTAAAGACCTCTCCAATAATAGAAACCCCTCCAATTAAGGGCCACTTGTGATTAAGGACCACCTTTCTGTAGTCTCAAGTGAATGCCTGTCTATTATCACAATAGTAGTAATTTTTCTAATTATAGACCTTTGGAAATAAAGTGTATTTTAACTACCCTGTCACTTATAAAATTGTAAAACATAATCACAATCAAATATAATTTGTATAAAATATTATTAATAGTATTAATAATAATATTCAGAAATTTATAACGCGCCAATTCGAAAAACATTATCAAAGGCGCAGTGAACAATTAACCCAATTAAAGCGATTTTGTAAACAAAAAAGTTTTCAAATTAGTTTTAAATGAGTTTAAATTTGAAGATTGTCGAACAGAAAGTAACAACATATGTAGTAATAATAATAGCCTAAGTAATTTCCAATCTAACTTAGTGTACTTTCTCAATTATTACTTAGGACCTGGGCTGAAGACTGCTGAAGAAAACACCATGCAATATCTTGAGGAAGTTGCTATCCAAGCTGCCAAGTGAGTCTGCATTTTAACCTCTTATCAGTAGTTTTTGCTCTATAATTCAAACCAACAAAATACAGACATATTATTTTATGTTATCTTTTACCATATAATTTAAACTATTGATTTCATTATTCAGTTTCTGGACACTTTGTCCCTCTGCAAAAAGTTGGATACTAAATGCCTGAATATAGAATATATGACAATTACATTTAAAAAAGACATCAAATTATACATAAAATGTAAACCTAAAAATGTAATCAAAGATTATAATATATAACACTTTCGAGTAGATAAATTTAGATAATATTTATATTATTTAAAATTAATGTATACATTTTTTTAATTATTATTCAGAGACCTTGCTGCTGGAAAACTTAAAACAGATAAACCAAAATCAATGATGCAAAGTAAGAGAAGCTCAAATTTTTATGATTTTATTTTTGTATTTGTTTCCTCATATTATATTGGCAATAATTAAGTTAATTTCTGTTTTGATTTTCTTTTTTTTAAATTTTTATTTTTGTATGTTAAATGTTATCAAATAGTTTATAAATTTACATATAAACATAATTAATACTCTTGACTCCATTTCACAAATGTAATGAGAGGAAGAATGACTTTCTATTAAACTAAATTGCTGTTGAAAATGTAATGGAAAATGTGAAACTAACAAAAATTATTTACTCTATCTTAACATTACAATACTCAAGTTTTAGATGTCAGCATCCTATTATTTGTTTCATTTTCATTTTATTAATTCTATGAGCAGTACATTGCAATGAACAAATAAGAACCGCATTATATTTGTTTTCTTGGCTAGAAATTACTGATAGTGTGCTTGGAATTGGTTTTGTACAAGACCAGGTGTTTAAGAAGGTTCACCAGACAGTGATGAAGATGTCTGGAGGCCTCTATCCAGCTCCTTTGAAGATCATTGATGTAAGATTGAATACACTTGTGTATGTTACCATCATTGTTTACTGTTAGTTGATCATTTATTTGAACTAATTAGTTACAGTAATTTAGTAGATCAGTTTGATCACTCTCTAGCATATGTATTTGTGTCATTCATTCATTCATATCATTAGCAGCAGCTGCTAGAATGTAATGTGAAAAGACAGTGTCATGAGATTACAAATATATGGCAAGAAATTATAAAACATCAACAAAATTACATTTTACTATGACCCAGACAGACATAACACAGTTGTTGTGTGTTATGTAAAAAAAATTAAACTACAGTAATTATTATGGATGATTGTATAGCACTAATATTATGTGGATCGTAGCTAGTAGTCATAATTGATAGTCTGTGCCTGACTATCAGCTTTATACTCCTTATAGGTGGTGAAGACTGGTGTTCAACAGGGTAGTGATGCTGGCTACCTTGCAGAATGTAAAGCATTTGGTGACCTGGCTATGACCACACACTCAAAAGCTCTGATTGGACTCTTTCATGGTCAGGTGAGTAGATACAGGGCCTGTTTTTGCTGAGAAGGTCAGCTTCAGCTTCCGTAGGTGATCGTCATTATGAGCTCCGCCCACCTACCAATGCTCGCGTTACCATGTTTTTATTAGTTGCACATTTCACTAGAAACGCGTTCCGAAGGATTTACTGTTTTTAAAAAACATGTGTTTTTGGCGTTATTCAGGAGTAACATGCCCTAAAAAAGAAATACATATATGAATTCATTAGTTGCATTGTGAACTCTTATAAACACATTGTAGTATGGTTATCATTTTTTTTAACCTCTTCAAGACCTTGTGATATTTTGGTTTAACTAATTTTTAAAATCTTATATCACTGAATTGTTTTCTTGGATTTCAGACTGAATGCAAAAAGAATAAGTTTGGAAAACCAGCAAAAGAAACCAAAACCCTGGCAATTCTAGGTGCCGGCCTGATGGGAGCTGGTATTGCTCAAGTAACCCTAAATAAAGGTGTTAACGTTATATTAAAAGACATGAGTTATGAAGGCCTAGCCAGGGGTAACCAGCAAATTTATAAAGGGTAAGGACCTAATGTATTTCAGAATCACTCATTTTACTCTAATATTTGAGTCAAGTCAACAACTGTGTGATTATCATAAATCAAATTTTAATTAATAAAAGCAGTTTATCGTCCTCTTTTATTGTATTATCATGTAATATCTTTTTTAATGTTTCCTTAAATTTCAGGTTGAACAAAAATGTGAAGAGAAAAAAGATCACAAGGTAATGGCCTTGCAATTTACCAAAAGGGAATGAATAAGAATATAAACATTACTGTGGAAATTTATTATTCAAAATTTACCCATAAGCATAACCTACTATGATGACTGTACCTTCCACAGTATTTCATTGCATTTTTCTATTCATTTATTTGGATTTTATTTTTGTTAGAAATAGGATTGAATGAATGGATTAGACCAGATTTAGCCAGCTATGGGTGGTGCTTTTAAAGGGGAAAGGCATAGTTTGTGCTATTGTGGGGTGGGGAGAAGGGTGGCAGACAGATATATGTGGTACAGCACTATTGAGAAGGAACAGAGATGAATTGTCTTTGAGCTATTTAGTTGCTTAGGCTATTTATATTGCCTTACAACATAAGTGGTTATTTTTTTCAGCTTCGAACGAGACCAGATGTTTTCAGATCTTAGTGGACAGTTAGATTACACAAACTTTGACAAATGTGACATGGTTATAGAAGCAGTCTTTGAAGATATCAACATTAAACATAAAGTAATACAAGAAATTGAGAAGGTATGCAACATAAATGTATTATATTGTCTCAAATTTGAGAGAAGCTGTATGTAACTTAGTGCTTCTTTTTTAAAGTACAGTATTAATAATTCTTTAAAACACTCAGCTAGTCAGATAACATACATCTTTTGTTAACTTCAGGTTATACCAGAAACGTGTATCTTTGCATCCAATACTTCTGCCCTTCCTATTACAGAAATTGCCAAAGGAAGTAAGAGACCTGAAAAGGTAAAGTTCATCAGCTTGGTTTTGTCCAGAATAATGTGATTGCAACTAAATAACCTTCTAAGATAAATGTTTTAGATTTAAGGTTTTGAATTTGTTATTCATAACTCTCATGAATTATTCACAGTACATTATGTCTAGTATATCTGCATATTCTAATGTTTATGTGAAAACTTAGCTTCATTTACATAGAGTACCACAGTCGTGTCGTCACGACGCCAGGTGGCGCTCTCTGTTGTCAACAGGCATAGGTTACCGTTCATTACGCCTGAATGACTGCATAGGCTTTCTGGAATAGGCATTTTAAAATCTAATATTTTACCATCAAAATGTACTAAAAACACAAATGCTCGCATTATATTAGTTATCGAACACACATTTAATCATCAATTAAAATTTACAAAGAAAAAGTAAGATACAAATCTTAATAATTACATTAGAAATTGGGATCGGTGGTTTGTTAGTGCCGAAAATGGTGTCGGGTTGAACGCATTTTGCAACGATAGCAACGGAGTAGTATCGCATGATATCGTGACGTAACACTAGTACTCTATACAGTATCAATTGTACACTTTAGCCTTTGAGAATTAAGTGTAAAATAGGTTTAACGATAATCCACAGTTGTAATAAGGTTATTATTAAAGCAATGCTATAACAATATTTTGGTTTCAATCAAAATTGTAACAGAAGATATATTGATTTTTTTGTAGGTTATTGGTATGCATTATTTCTCACCTGTGGAAAAGATGCAACTGTTGGAAATCATCACTACAGACAAAACATCAAAGGACACAGTTGCAGCAGCCGTTGATATTGGCCTGAAGCAGGGCAAAGTTATCATCACAGTTGGTGATGGCCCTGGCTTTTATACCACCAGAATCCTGGCACCATTCTCAGCAGAGGCTGTCAGGCTTATGCAGGTAGAGGGCAGTGTACATTTATTAATTTGAAGAACATTTGCATATTATTTTTTTGGTCATTATATCCTATACAAAATGTGTTTAATTTTGAATTGAGTATTTTTTTATCAGTAATTCTTCTAAATTTGAATGTTGTGTTTAATTTTATTGCATGTATTTATCATTTTGTAATTCATTAGAAAGTGGTTTAGTTCACTTTTGGGTGTGTCCCTATCTCAAATAGAGCCGATATACTGTATAAGCAGTAGTCACACTGTCGTCATCACCTTTTTTGCTGTATGTAAAAAACTTACTTAAATGTGTTGAAGCTTTTTTTTAAAACATTGTTCTATACAAAACTACATGCTATCTCATTTCTTCAATGTTCCTCTTATCAAAACCAACTTATGAGACCTTCAATCACTGGTTTGCCAGGTGATTGTGACTATATGGGCCTCTTGACGTCTTACGTTTCTCCATCTGCACCTGTTGATTAGCACAAGCAATGCAAGCTTTCTATAACTAGATGTCCGGTTGAGCATGTTGGATGTGCTCAGTACTCCTCCCCTTCACAGATTCTGTGTTTGGCTTGTGGATCATGATTTAGGGGCAATTTTTTATTTTTGTCTGCTGAAAATCCAATAAGAGGTCTCTGAGGCACGTCTATAGACAGATAGAATGGCTTGGAAGAGCATATTTATGGTGTATGATTCACGGTAACTGTTGTTTCACAAAATGGTATCTTGCATTCTTCTCTATCCACTGCATCCCAACTTGATTTATCTGACATTTTACAGGAAGGAATCAGTCCGAAGAAACTTGACCAGTTGACCAAGTCCTATGGTTTCCCGGTTGGTGCAGCAACTCTAGTTGATGAAGTCGGAGTTGATGTTGCCGCTCACGTGGCTGAGGATCTAGGAAAGGCTTTCGGTGAACGTTTCGGCAATGCCGATGTTAACGTGCTGAAAGATATGGTTGCTGCTGGATTTTTAGGTATGATTAATATGTGATGCTGTTTGTTAATCAATCAATTTATAGGTGCATTGTACAAAGGTCTCTATCTGCCAATGAAAGCAGGAAGGAGACACTAAGCTGTTGTTCACACATCGAGTGCCAACAGTGTTTTTGTTTTAATTTTCATATGACAGCTAATAATTTTATGTTGAATTTTATTCTTGTAGTAAGCACAAACAGCATATCTCTGCTATGATTTTTTAGCATTTTTATATAATTTTGGACAATTTTTAAAAAATATAATTAATTTTACTGCTATGTATATTGAGATTTTGTAACATTGTTTTGTGTATCAGGACGCAAAAATGGAAAAGGTTGCTACATTTATGATGGCTCAAAGAACCGTGAAATCAATGCTGCGGCCGAGGCCATCATGAAGAAATATTTGATAGTGCCAAAAGGAGCCAACTCAGATGAAGACATGCAGTTACGTTTGGTATCACGGTTCGTCAACGAGGCAGTTCTTTGTTTACAAGAGGGCATTTTGAAAACTCCGGTAATCACAAACAAATTATGTTTTCCAATACAAACCATTAAGCATCCTCACTTTTTTATACTTGATTGATTACTTTCAAATTTAATTCTGTAAATATTTTCTGTATTACTTTTCCAAAGCTAATTGTAATATCTTCATTTTATTGACTCTGTATATGTTAACACAAAGATAAACCATGCAGTGGACTAGTTAATGTAGCAATGTTAAATAATTTGTAGCTGATTGACTTGTCAATGTGTTTAACAACAAAGCACTCTTATATTCAAAGTATACACACAAAAAAAACATAGAAATAACATATTTGTTTGTTGTGTCAGAGAAAAATTAAATTTATTTTCAATATGTTGATTGTTATTGTGGACAGGTGGAAGGTGATATTGGAGCAGTTTTTGGTCTTGGATTCCCGCCTTTCCATGGTGGTAATTTATATTATTGCTTTTTCGTTTGTACATGCATGTAAAGTATGATGTAATTATTCATAAAGATATTTAGTTAATTATCGTTTACTATAATACCTCCATGTATCATTGTAAAGACTAACACACATTTTATAATGATAATTCTATAGAGCATTCTCTTTATATGTACTGTATTTTCATGCTTGTTTCTGTAGGTCCATTCCGATTTGTAGACACCTTTGGAGCTGACAAGCTGGTAGCTAAAATGAGGGAATTTGAAGCTCTGTTTGGAGTACCATTTACGCCATGCCAACTGTTGCAAGACCATGCTAATGACAAAACCAAGAGGTTTCACCCATCCAAATGAAACTATAGAGGGCACTATATATATTCAGTTCTAACCAATTAACAGGTGCTATTGTCTTACAATAATACAATTGCCTGTTTTCTTCTAGGGACCTTTGTTCTTTCAAAAGAAAATAAAATCAGTATAATTATTGAAAAAAAATATAGAAATAACAGGAATTTGACAAAAATAAACTCAACTTCATTGATTTATAAGTGCCATAATAACTTTGGATCACTTTTAATGTTCTTCAAGAATTGAACGTGGGTGGGAAGATTTCTTGTGTATTTGCAGAGTTTTTTGTTTTGTAGCAGTCCAATGCAATTTGTTTTAAAAAAAGGTTAGTGAATTGTGTTCTGCAATAATATAGAGATGTGTATATAAACAAGAGATTTGTATCAGATTAGTTGGCAATGTTTGTGACCTGTGTCAAACAGGATTCCATTTCTCAAATATCTGATGTAAAACACAAAACCTTTGAACAACTGTTGGTGGGCGATTGTTAATTATTATAAAAGTCTGAATAAATTTAAAAATGAAATACATAATTATGTTGTCATTATTATGCTGCATTCACAACCAAATCTGAATTTTCAGATTTTTAACCGAACCGAAAATCGTATTAGTGTTTAAGAATAGCGATGCTGGACTTCAAATCAAATCAAATCGGTTACGATCCGATGTGAATGTAGCTTTATTGTCAATTTTGCTACTTACAGATGGCAAAAATTGACAGATTTAATGCAGAAAAATAACTTACAGTAGGCCACTTGAACACTTATTTCTAGATGGAAAATGGTATATAGTAGAGCTTCCTTATTTCTATGTTATTTACTCTTCCGAAACAGAAATTCTGGTACCAAGCTATGCCTACTGCTTCTTTACTCTATTAAATTAAAAGTAAAATGCTTCAAAAATCTTCCTTAAAAACTTTTTTGCTCCTCTCCTATTTACATACTTTTATATCTGTTACTTATTTCCTATGCATCTTTGTTAGCTATCATTTTAATTTGCTTATACTCTTCAAAACACCAGTCTTATTGCTGTTAGCCTCCCAGAGGAAAATCATCATTCAAAATTATGGACGTTATGATAATCGTCTTCAGCACTGCTGCAGTGGATATGTGCGCTTTAAAATCTTAATACAGTAATATAAAAGTAATACCCATGGAGATCTTAAATCATTAAAATATATATCAATAACATGCACCCCGCTTATAGCAGAGGCTTTAGTACCGAATAGTTATCGTTTTCCAGAGGAAAAGATCAAGACACCAACAATGAAATCTTAGAATATAAAAAGCTTCAAATGAATCATGAATTATCATCAACACTACGCACTATGATGTTAGTAAAATTATAGAACAGGGGTGAAGCTAAGGTGATCTGGAAAAGTTCGATAACTTCTGGGTAACAGAAAATAGTACAGTACTCTATGACTTGAATTTGAATGTAATTTTTCTCTATTTTCTATAATCTTAAGGGGGTGAGGGTGAGGTGAAGAGGCTGGGTCCCCGGCCTTTAATTGAATCCACTCTTTACAGGCTGAATAATTAATCGAACAATTTCCAACATCTAGAAACAGCCGGGCTACTAACAACTGAAGTACAGTATATGTTAGGTGTGTTTACTTCCAGAATATATTGCTCTGCATAATGTGTGTGTGTACCCATAATGTTTTAAGTTCTTAATTCCGGAAAAAAATAATTCAAAATGCAGAAAAACGGATTCCCAATCACTTCCTTGAGACGCTTTCCCATTTAGTACACTGTGAAACCTGCCAATTGTTCAACGCGTCGTCGGATGAGATCATCTTGGTGGTATGTGCTTTTCTTTATGCAATTCATACTTCTAAATGACTATCTCGACCATAGTATTAATTTGCATACCATCGGCATATTAATCATCATAAATTTTGGTGAATTAGGCCTACATCCAAGCAAATGCAAAATAAAATGAAGTATAACGCTGACCTTAAATTATAACTTCCTTTTGCATGTTTCTACCAAACAACAATAGGCTTAGTACTGTATTTACACATGACTAACAAGAAAAGATTTTATTTCCAATACCCTTGGAATTGCCTATAGTGACAATTCACATTGCATTACCGTTCATTACAATAATTCCTAAAATTTCAATTGAAATCAGTCAAACATTAGAAGAAATGAATTTGGGAATATCACAAAGTGCGACGGAGTTCCTATTTTACAATGTTGCAGTGTTATTATAAGTTCGTTAAAAAGATTTTTTTTTTTTCCAAATTGCGATCGACCTGGCTCCGTATTTTAATTTTACGCGGTTCCAACGATAGCACTGAAAACGCTGTAGCGACAGTGTGTATCTAGCTTGTCAAGTGTTTTCGAGTCTTTTCGCTTTGTCGCCCTCAACGACATGCACTGCAGCACTCATGCATCATCATCATCCATCCATGGATAGCGTGGCAATGGTTGCCCTAGCTTTAGTACACAATATATTACTTAGCAACTAAGTTCCATGATGACTTCAAGCTTAACAGAACAAGCTGTTGCTGAAGTTGCATCACTGTCAGTAAGTCATACCCACTAGCCTAGTTTTGTTCTGAAAGTAGTATATTTAATTGGTATTGGTGTTGTTGAAACAACTAGACTAGGCTAGGCTAGGCCTGTCTCTTATACAAGGCTACCTACCCTAACCTAGGCCCTAGGCCTAGGTTAGGGTAGCCTAGGCTAGCTGCTAGGTCAGTCCCCTACTTTAGCTAGGCCTTCTATTGAAGGCCTAGCCTAGGCCTAGACCTACAAAAAATGGGAGACGGGGATGGGGAACAATTAATAAATCCTAAGTTAATCAAAAATGCCTATTTATTATAGGCCTATATAAAAATAAACAACAAATTGGAGCTGATTAGAATTTTTTTTATTTAGGCCTGTTTTTTTTTTGTTTTGGGCAGAGTGGGCATGCACTTCTCAATTGTTTGTAGTCCCGGCCCCCCCGAACCCGGGCCTAGCAGGGTAGCTGGGGATGTAATTTCTAAAACGGTACAGGCATGTGAAGTCCTGGCCACCTCCCGGCAATGCGGGGCATCATTTTAACGTACATCCCCGGCTAAGTCCCAGCCACTTACCGCCATACACACCCAAAAAACCACAGCTACACTAATGTGTACAAATTCCCGGGCCTTCCGAGGCCTGTTACATCTTTGGGTAAATTTTAGGTACGTCCCGGCACTACGGGGACACATCTATGTGTACATCCCTGGTTCAGTCCCGGCTAGTGCCCCGCTATGGCCCGGGTCCATGAGGGCTGGGACTACAATTGACATGTGCATAATGGGACCAAATTGTTTTGGGCCTACTTGATGTAGGTATCCACCATCCATACTGTAAATTTTTTTAATTGCATGGATGATCAAAAAACAGCTCAAATTTGCGCAGAACATCACTAGAAAAATAGGTCCGCAGAATCATAATTACTGCATCATAATGCATGTTTATATTTTATGATTAGGTCAAAGCCTAATTTTTGGCAAAATCAGCATGAAAATTGGCCCTTATTTTCCAAAATGCACGAATTTTTCATCAATAGCAGTATTAATGAATGGGGTAAGCATAGTCTACAGTAGGAGAAAGAATAGATGATTTTATATATATTTTTTTATAATTATATTATTGATAGCTATTCTATATTACTGTATGTTTACTATTTATGCCGTGGCTAGAGATACGGTACCGTATTTCTTCTTCAATTTGCTAAAGGTACGGTAAATGGCATTACGTCACCATCACCCAATGAAGAGCCAGAAATTGAAGTAGAAATACAGTACCGTATCTCTAGCCACAGCGTACATTTTAATATAGTAATAATATTTTATTTTAATTTTTATATATATTTTTTTTTATAGAAGGAAAGAGGACGATTGGTACTTGCTAGATATCTTGGTTGCAAAGTCGATGACTATTTACATTTGAGAGATTCAATTTTGCTTGATTTCCACTACGGTAACCTCATGGTGGCTATCAATAGTGGATTAACCTGGTCACAGTCTATTGAAATATTCCTGCTAGGCAAGCACATGCTCCAGGAATGTACAGGTGGGTATCTGTCCCGGTACTACATTGCTCCCTCTAATTAAGGACTCCTCCAATTTAAGATCACTTTTCTGTGGTCCAAAATTAACAAGTCTTATCTTTATTATTCTAATTAGAGACCAAAGCTGCTAATGACCATGGAAACCCCACAGTAGTCTCAAAAGTGGTCTTTAATTGGAGGGAGACCTTAAATAGTTTAATGACATATCTGGGTATTGGTGAATGACTTTTGCATTGTTTCTACACTGGACAGAAAATAATGTGAGATTTTTTTCCATCAGAAATAAGACCTGGTTAAATGTCATTCCCTATTAAAATTGTGTGTCAAATAATGTCAGATAACTGATTGACACCTGTATCACAAACAAGCATAACCATGACAATGTATGAATCTAGTGGTTTGTTAGGAACATGATTTTAAAGCATACATAAAGTACAAAAGATAGTTCATTGAGTGACATCTATGCTGGTAACAGAGACCACGAAATCTAGTAAATATTAATTCAGTTATGTATTAGTGGTTCTTTTTTATGGTCCAAAGTCAAGTGTAAAATTAAGATGTTACTCATTGTTTCTTGACGTTTCGTCTGCTATCAGAAAGGCATCGTCATTTTTATTGTTGGATTCAATTAATTTATTCAATAATTAATTCGGATACAAATATATTAGAATTCATATTCAGACTGTATACAACTTCAAGTGTAATTACTATATTGTGCAAGTTTTTGCTTAAATACCATGTACTGTACTGTACAATGTATTTTTTTTTGCACACTACTTGATGTTTTAAAAAATTGTTGGCAGTTGTAAATTTTTTGCTCTATATATTTTTGTTGTATATTGATAATGGTGAAATTGGATATATGATATGTTTATGAAGGTTCCTCTTATAATTTCAGGTATTAAGCTCTCAGAAGCAATTGATATTTTCCAGGAAAAGATCATACACTTGGCAAATATGATCACACAAGACAAATTGAAGTTGTTTACAGATTATTTCTTTGAGACGTTTATGAAGCATTATCGGTTGTATCAATTTGTCTTGACGCAAGGACAAGAACCCATGGCTTCAGAATTAGATATTCATGTAATTCCACCTGTTGAATGCCTCAAACTCAAAGTAAGTATCTGAAGAAATTGATCTCAGACATCTTCACGTGTGAGTAAATTCAGTTAATAAAGTTCATGTATCATTTACCAATATTAAATTCCATTTTGTATTTGACCATGACATAAAGTAAAATACATAGTAAAAGTTCAGAATTATTTGTTGAATTTGTTATAAATATTTTTCTTTTGATATCTTCTTGGGAATTTTGCTTATGTTTCAAAAATTGATTTATAATGGTATTAAATCGTTTAAATTAAATTATTATAATTATTATTATTGGATTCGTTTGGTGTGACCACCAAGAAGACTTTCTTCCATTGGGGTCATTCTGGTGGTGACTGTGCAATACTTTGTACATGGCACATGGGCTGTACTAGTACTCCGGAAAACTGCTTAAATGTTAAACACTGCAAATTGTTTACACTTGCTGTAACACAAAAGCAGAAGATGGAATTGAACCGGGTACCAAAAATTTAACAATGGATTTCCGTGGTTCATTGCACACACAGTGGCTACCACCGGTTTATCCGTCTGAGCTATTGTGTTCTAAATTGTATGAACTGCACTTTATGATGAAGCCTCCAACCATCCACTTTCTTTGGACAGGAAGCAAAAACGCTTAAGGTGTGGGAGTATGAACAGAAGTTAGAAGAGCTTGAACGTGAAGAGGAAGAACGCAAAGCAAGCTTAACTGAACAAATGCAAAAAGAAGAATCTGAGATAGAAAGTCAAAAGAACATGACATTTACATCAACCATTTCTGGAGATTTAAACCGAGAGGTAAACAATCTTTTCTCCCTTCATTAGATTGAAGCTCTGTCCACTATCAAATTTTGTGTGACAAATTTGTGTGATATGCCCATATACTGTATGGTGAGGATGTCATATTACACCTAAATATAGGCATATCACATTCATTTGTAACATAAAGGGCTTTAGTCTTTAGATAGAAGATTGGGGTTTAATTTTTGGAAAACATTTTACTATATATTTCATTCTAGGCCGACCATGCTATAGTTACCCCGGTTTGCACTGTTGACAGGCTGTGAAGTGGCCCCAAGCTATGTTTCAGCCCAAGGTGCGAGTATTAAATACTGTATTCCGTCATTATTGACATTAACCTCAGGCCTGATATATCAAGATAAAAACAAAAAAACACAAAAAAAGAATTGAATTTTAGTATTGTGATGTAATGATGAAAATAGTTTAATTTGTTTCATAATTCTTGTTCTTGTTTTTTTCTCTTTTTTTTTTCAGGTTATTTCAGAAATGATAAAGAAAGCCTCAGATGCCCAGTCTCAGCATACTGAAAAACTATTGTAGTTAGTTGTTGAAGAGAAACATGAGGATTTAGATTTCTACTTAGAAAAAACAGCTTTACCCAGGCCTGTAGATTTAGGTGCACCTCCTAGGACTAAAGCCCCTCCAAAACTGTCTGCTAGGGGAAAGTCAAGCTCCAAGTCAGTTCACAAGTTAGGACAAGGCCTAGAATCTCAAAATGCCCGTGGTTCAACAAGAGGTAGCAGAAATAAGGCTAAATAGCATACTCTGATATTTTCACATGTTCAAATGTATAAATGTAACATTATTATTAAAGGTAATCAATTTGTTTCTCAGAATTGTGTTGTCAGTCTGAATGTTATCTTGAAACGTTACAGTGAAAACAAATGTATATAGCGCCCTCTACACCATTATACAAAGTAATCATTTTTGTAAAGAATTGTATTCTGTGCTTGTATTTTATTGAATATGTCTGTATTTTAAATATTTAGTTGAGATAAAAAGTGCAATTAGATATCTTTATCAATTATTGATTTGCATAATTAACAATACTATGTAGTATAAATAAGAAACACTACTGTTGTAATAATAATAGTGTATAGTTTTATATAGCGCATCCATCTAATGTAAAATGCTCAGGGCGCTTGATATGTGGATAATGAACTCGATCAATGACTTTCTTCGCCCCTAAGGGTCACTTTATGTCTGTGCTACCCAGTAACCTGCTACCAACAACTCTTGTGATTCACCACAGGGGCTGTCTGTTCCAGTACACCGCAGTATTCACCTACTCGTCTCAAAGGATGTACTGGGTTCTTTATAGTGCACACGAGACTGTTTATAGTCCTTATCCGAGAAGATGGTTAAAATAAGTTGTGGGTAAAATAATTACATTTTCAAGTGTAGGACAAACTTTAAAACAAAATAAATGTCTAATGTTTTCAGTAAATTTTTACAGTATTTTGTATTTGTTCATTGGTGACTTGAGAAGGCTAGGATGTCAACAAATATTTACCTCGCAGTCATAGCATTTTAAATTACATTTAATGGAAATTTTAAAGTGACTCATAAGTAAACCTTGAGTGTGTAAAAGTGTTTGACCGAGAAAGAAATAAACCAATTGGACAAATGTGTAACCCTAACTAAGGTATAGCAAAAGACCTATTAACTAATAAAATTGTAAGAAAATTACAACTGCTAATTAGCATATACTTAAACAAGTAAAATCAACATGAACTGAGTATAACTTAAAATATGAAAATCTGTTGCATGCAAGGTTAATACTATTGTGATGCTACATCGGAATTTGGTATTTTGACCATCCAAGAAAAGCATGTGGTTAAATGAAAATATATTCTTTTTTACTGCCAGCACAAATATGAATAAATATAGTATATATTCTTATTTCAATTATGGCTCTATTACAAATTTTACATTTTACTAGAGCAGAGTTTGATATCAGTAACAGTATAGTCAAAAGTCAATATTCTATCCTTGATTTTTACTCTAACGAGCTAAAATATCAAACCATGTTTGTATTATTTCATATGTTTTATTTATTTTTTGTCTAATAAATAACAGCACTTCAGATAAATTTTCTTTATAGCCTGAATGATTATAATTCGTTTGCATTGAACATTGTCCAAAATACAATTTTATATGAAATTTCCATTATTAAATTTACCTGTATTTTTCATAAATATAATTATGACATTAGAAAACATTCGAAGCTAGACCTATAATATACAGTATTACAACAGGTTATAGTGAAGAGGTACAAAAAAGCAGCAAAGACAAAGACAATGCAGCCTGTAATTATTAGATAGAATTCTGTATAGGTAATTACAGACGAATATTTTAAAACATTTATAAAGAAGTGTTAATTATTTTTAAATCTGCATAGAGAAATTTAGCCTATATAACTGGTAAGGAATGCAAATCGCTTCCAAAACTTCCTGGTACGTCACTGGATTTCTACAAGAATCATGCGCAGTGCTCAAGTTGTGCTTCTGTTATCTGGGTACGTAATTTATGGCGAGAAACAGGCAAATGAAGTGCTTTGCATATTTTCATAACAAAATTTGGTTTGGCACAAACTCGAATTATCGGTATTAGGATTCAAAACTCAAAGGATTACGTCTGCGCCAGAAGTATTTTTCATAAGAAGACATAATAATAATTTCAAATAGGCCTACTATTATTAATATACGGTGTTATCACCAGTATTTACAATACAACTGCACATAATTTGGCTGCTTCTGCTTTTCGAGCGCTTGCTGTAATAATAAGTAAATCTAAGATAGGGGGACAAATTTTAAAACGTTTACGAAGTTATATGATGCCATGGTGGCGCCTATTCTTGAATATGGATGTGCCGTTTGGGGCGTAGTCCAATGTTCATCGACAAGTGCGGTATTTTCTTTCTTGTTATCGGAAAGTACGCACCTATAAATGTTATACTGTACTTGGCGATTTAGCCTGGGATACCGTTTGTTCGGGAAGCAAAGCATGTAGCCAGATTATGGAGTAAAATTAACATAATCAACGAAGACAGATTACTATATAATATGTATTGTTGGTCTACTCAACTTTGTCTAAACAATAAAAGAAATTGGTGCTATAAAGTGAACACGTTATTTGACAAAGTAAATTGTACCCATTTGTTAACCGCCAAATTTAATACTGCTAACTTATTGTCTTTGATTTCTAATAGTGCCCGTATATTGATAGAAACAAATTGGAAAAAGCGATTTTTGACGATGAACGAAAGTTTCCTAGCCAGAGAAATAAGTTTAAAGCAGAGATTTGTACTGATAATTATGTTATGGTCATTATGAAAAGATGTTTTAGACGAGCACTAGCTTTGTTTAAGCGGGTGTGCTCCTATTTACATTGGAACAGGCAGATAATATAATAATATCCCTACGAATGAACAAATTTTTCCTTTATGTAATAATGGTATCGAGGACGAATTTCACTGTTTTATGATTTGTAAGCATTATGATTCTCTAAGAAAGGTGTTATATTCCAAATTAACTAACACGTATCCGACATTCATTTCATTATCTGATACTGATAAGTTTATGTTTTTGATGTCCAATGGTGACCGTTGTCATTTAGTTACTGAATATGCCCACAGTATTCTAGAATCTCGTCGTACGTTTTTGTTTTAAACAGCAGTAGAGTTAAGTCTGTTCTCATTTAACCCTTTTGATTTTTAATGCACTGTCACGAATTATAATTTTGTTATTGTTTGTCACTCATACATCCAGATATGGTTGGTCAGAAATGGGTGTGACATTAATAAATAATAAAGTAATGTAAAGTATCAAATTCGTCCTGCGCTTTACGTGTTCATCTAGTTTTTATACCTCCCGGAAGTATTATGTAGATTCATGTCCTCATAGTTATTCTTTGTTTTGTTTGTTTCGTCAATTGGCACACTGTCGCTTCGTGTTAGAATTGCATGTTTATCCAGTCTTGAATATAGAGCCCCAACGTTGATGTAATGATCTGTTGGTATTGGTTTTCTGGGCGGCGCCTCGTCATTATCACCGGAAACGTAAATGATGTTTTCTACGCTGCCACTTAGATTGTCTGTTTCACTCACGGCGTTTACACTTGAAGTGTTTGGGCAGTCGATGTCAGAATGGACGCCATTTTTTACTCCTTGGTCTCCCACTGGTTCAACTCGTGATTCTAAATCATTTAGAGGATCTTTGGCAGGTGCCATGCAGTGTATGACTTTAGTATTACAGTTGATGCCATCAGCTTTATGGATACCTTGATCAAACAAATCACAGTTTGCCATCGATAGACCGGGTGTTGGACGTCCTATGATTTCATAATGGTCATCATCAGAATTGATTTCAGTAACGGCCATACTCTTGCTGAAGACGTCATCGCCAGCATCAGCACCTTGTTCTTTCTTACATACTATATTTGAAGCATAGATTGAGGCAGTTTCATTGTTCTCTTCTTCACCAGTATTTGGGAATTCATAAATGTGTGCATCATCAACGTGTCTATCAGTCTTGAGCGTAACGTTGTTATCGAGTATCTTGTCGGATTTAGTGTCTTCGATTTGAACTATAGCTTCCAAGTTTATAATACTATTTCCTGTGTTTTCAAACTCAGTTTCACTTCTCAGATTGGATGATAGATCAGACATTTCAACGGACAAAGGCGGCATCATACCGCTTGAATCGATACATTTTGTTTTAACATCGCAGCACAGTTTGTTGATAGGGATTTCTCCGTCAACAATCACGTTTGTTGATCCGCCATCTATACGAGGCTCCTCCGTTGAAATACATATTGCTTGTGTACCCGTTGAAGTATCGTTGTCTTCTCCAATATCTGTTATAGAGATGATCTGGATTTGGTCTCCATTACACGCCATAACACTACTACTTTTATCCTCAGAGCAGAAGACCAAACACTGCGAGTTAGGACGCACTAATTGTCTTCTCCTTAATCCGAAAGTTTTTAATTCTGCATCTTGATTTTCAGTTTCATTATGTTCACTATGAGGTTCCTGGTTAGCAGGCGACACACTGTGGGTAATCGATATGACGTCTTCGACGGGTGGTGCAATTGACGCCACAGAGCTTTCACTAGGATGATTTGCTTCATCTGGTTTGGGAATGTACATATTCTTCAATTGTGTGTTTATCCGACTGAAAAGTAGAAAAATTACTGCGATAAAATATTGTACCCTCAATAAAAAATGTAACCTTATTGGGGTTATGCATAATAACACCGAAGCATCCGAGTTGCTTTGGTTTAATGTCATCAAATATTTTAGATAATATATAGCCTGCCGTTTAAACAAAGTAACCAATAATTGTAATAAAAATAACTTTACCATTGCCAGTACAAACAGATTGACAG